AAAAGAAAGCCTCTAAGACCATTCAATCAGGGGCACCCAACGACAATTTTTGGAAAATACCTGTGCGGAAGACGATTTGAGATCTAGAATTTTCGGAACGTTTGTTGTAAAATTTCTTGCATCCCTGCCTCTCCTAGGATTTTCGAATATCTAAAAAATGGTATAATTGCTCATTTTTAACGGATTTTTACCCTAAAAAGGTCACCTAGAACTTTCGAGAGCCTTTTTTGTGGCTGAAATGTCCGAAAAGGTAAGTTTTGATCCCTATAATTTTCGCAACACTACAGTATGTGGTCCTTAATAGCTTGGTCCGCGTCTAAAAGTCATTAACTTGAATATCTTACCCGAATCTTCACGTAACGAGCTGAAATACTCCCTGAACATAGCTGTTATGCTTTTCTCGCTAATCCTGAAGTTTCAAGCTCCAGACATAAATATTTTGCTTGTTCGAAAAAAGGCGACCGTTTTCGATGGTCCTTGGTCCGCGAATGTGGTCCTTGGTCCGCGTCTCAGGTAAGCAGCACGCAAAAAGCGTAAAAATGTTATAGTTTCCACAGGAAAACGTCATTTTCACAAATTTCATGTATTTTTTTTCTTTTCTTGATGCAATTAAGCGAAAGTTTTTTTTCGGAAGATGTTGTGAGTATAAAATAATCTGCTCTTCTTTCAAAGACTTCAGACAACAGTCTCCTCGAGTCTCCCACACGAGCGTCGCGAGCGGTTTTCAGCGCGGTCGAAATAATTACCAAAAACTCTGTTTGTATTCGGGGTATTAAAAAAAGAGAACTTGTAGACATGTATAGGGACGATTTTCAAAACATTCTTGGAAAACCACAGGCGGCCCAGACGTACCCCGGTAGCATGTGTCACTGAATGAATACATTAATATTCACATGGACAAATAGACCTTGTCACGGTTTTGGACGCCATCTTGACGAGTAGGCAAACAGGTGAGAAATTACAGTAGGGTCATTTATACGAGGAAAAATAAGACGCATCTTACATAAGATGCGTCTTATTTAAGACGCGAACTTTCTGTATAAACAGCACATTTAGTCTAAAATAAGACGCGGCTTAGCTAAGACGTGTCTTAGCTAAGACACGTCTTAGCTAAGACACGTCTTAGCTAACACGCGTCTTATTAGATAAGACGTGTTCGTATAAGTGGTACAGTTCGCGTCTTATTTACGCGTCTTATTTTTCCTCGTATAGATGGCCCTAGTGTTTGTATGAGAATCTAATGTCGATTAATTTCCGTAAAACGGCTGTTCTGAAAAAAAATATGATTTGTAAACTAAAGCTTCACTCCTAAGGATTCTCCTGAAAAAATTTGAGGGTGTTACATGCACTAGAAGACCTAGAACCACTTTTTAAAATTTTCTATACATTTGTCTGTAAGAAAGTCCCGGGAAAATTACAGACAAATATATGGAAAATCTAAAGCAAGCCTCTGGAGAAATTTAAGCACAGGTACGCCCCCCAAATATTTTAGGACAATCCTTTGCTTTGTAGCTTTAGTTTACAATTGATATTTTTTTCAGAACAGCCGTTTTACGGAAATTATTCGACATTAGATTCTCATACAAACACTGTAATTTCTAACACGTTTGCCTACTCGTCAAGATGGCGTCGAAAACCGTGACAAGGTCTATTAATGCGATGAGTCGTCGAAACTCCCATGGACTAAAATAGTCCAAAAGTCAAAATATAACAAAACAAAGCTAAGATACCTTCAACTGAACGTATCCTTGTCTTTCCTGGCCAGTTTAAGTGGCATTTTGTTGAGTTTTGTAATATTATTGTAGGTACTATCCACTAAAGAAAAATTAAAGGCTGGCTACAAAACAAACAGACCATCTCCACGCGCCTTCACACGAAGCGCTATAAATTCGAGAATAATCGACGAATCCGCTCCAAATAGCCATCGGTTAATCTGCAAGTAACGTGTGCTCCTGCTTCTGGCTCGCTTGCTCCAGAAAACCCATCGCGACTGCACAATAATATTGCTCGCTCATCAACAACCACTGTTGACCTTTACGCTTCGATATGACTGCAAACGACCAGGTTTAATACGCGACGTGAATATTCAAGCTTAGCAACTGCGTTCGCGCAACAATGCAGCACTTGCTATGGGAGGGATGGTACTATTGCTTCTAGGTCAATCAATCGGGAAAATAATATTGAAGCCCTTGTAATTTTTAAAAAGATCCAATTTGCCCTAGGAGCACCGAACAGATACGAATCTTATAGCGGAGCTAAAAAACATGAGCGGCAGTGGAAAAAGTGAACAAGAACATGTACCACATTTTCTCCATAAAAAGTGAAAACCAGGAAGTTTTCTGGACGTTTCACATTGCAGTCATGCAAATCAGCAGCAAGGAAATGTACAAGAAAGTGTGCTGCAATTAGACCTATTGTTGTTTTTCACAGTTGTGGCCAAGGGCATCAAACTTTTAATTTTTCACGTTTCACTCACCGGGTTAGGCTATTTTTCGTAGAGAGTAAAATGGAATCCTAACATTTTTGGATTCAAAAATGTGATGAAAGAAGGTATCTGAAAAATTATCTCCTTCGTAATACGTTAAATTGCATCTAAAATTTTCGGGAAAATAATTCTGAATTCCTCGTAATTTCGAAAAGACTCTATAGTTCCTCTAGAATGGCCGAACACTGAGATGCAAATTTTATAGCGCCACTTAGAATGCATCGATAGAGCTAAAAGTACTTTATGAATAGCTACAAAAGTGTTTTCAAAGTATTTGAGGAAACAGTCATTGGGTGGCCCTGTCTCGTTGCCTTCTCCGCTTAGCATTACACGATATATTTTATATTTAGTATGAGCAAGCTATAAATCATTAGCTTCGCTTTTAGCCCTCCTGACTAAATTTATGTAAGCGCTGTTTAGAATGCATTTTTAGATCAAAAGTACTCTGGACAGCCTTAAATGTGTTTTCAATGCATTTAGGGGGAAATCATCATTGGGTGCCCCTGAGTTTTGAGAATAATAATAATAATAATAATAATAATAAAAGATATCGTGCACATAAATTTTACTTTACGATATCTTCAGCTGTATCTTCTATTCAGCTGCATAGCCGGGGCCAGATTTTGCCTTTTTCCCGGGCGGAAAATTCTCGTCCTCCTTTACCAGTTTGGACAACATATTATGGAGTAAGACGTTGTTAATCTAAGCAAATAAGTCTGTTAGAGTCAAGAACCTATGCAAGCGGCTGGACGAACAATGTGACAGCAGCTGAGACAGCGAACGTTAGAAGAAGAAAACCAGGGCTGCCCTGTTGAAAACTTACGGATGGTCCCGCGATCGCCTTTTGTTTTCTGGTCAAAACTAACGCAGCGAACCTTCGGTCAGTGTCGATTGACCTAGAAGCAATAGTACCATCCCTCCCATAGCAAGTGCTGGATTGTTGCGCGAACGCAGTCGCTAAGCTTGAAAATTCACGTCGCGTATTAAACCTGGTCGTTTGTGGTCATATCGAAGCGTAAAGGTCAACAGTGGTTGTTGATGAGCGAGCAGTTATTGTGCAGTTGCGATGGGTTTTCTGGAGCAAGCGAGCCAGAAGCAGGAGCACACGTTACTTGCAGATTAACCGATGGCTATTTGGAGCGGATTCGTCGATTATTCTCGAATTTATAGCGCTTCGTGTGAAGGCGCGTGGAGATGGTCTGTTTGTTTTGTAGCCAGCCTTTAATTTTTCTTTAGTGGATAGTACCTACAATTGCAAAACTCAACAAAATGCCACTTAAACTGGCCAGGAAAGACAAGGATACGTTCAGTTGAAGGTATCTTAGCTTTGTTTTGTTATATTTTGACTTTTAGACTATTTTAGTCCATGGGAGTTTCGACGACTCAACGCATTAATTTGTCCATGTGAATATTAATATATTCATTCAGTGACACATACTACGTCTGGGCGGCCTGTGGGAAAACAAAGACCGTCTCTTTTTATTTTGCGAAGTTTTATTCAACCAGGTCATAGCACAGGGAGCCCACACAATCTGTTTTGTGTAGCCGATTGTTATTTTATAGTAAATGTACTGGATTCACTGTTTGCTTCACCTATAGCGATATATCGCTAACTATGTATATAAATCAATGATAAATAAACGTTGAATTACCTTGCCTGTGGTATATAGTCGTCTTTTTACCTCAAAAGCGGTTTTTTGAGCGATTTTGAATGAATTTGAGTTCGCCGTTGACTGTTCCATATATAAGGAATTTGAGTTCGCCATTGACTGTTCCATATATAAGGAACAGTCAACAGTGAACTCAAATTCATTCAAAATCGTTCAAAAAACCGCTTTTGAGGTAAAAGGATGACTATATACCACAGGTAAGGTAATTCAACGTTTATTTGTCATTGATTTATATACATAGTTAGCGATATATCGCTATAGCTGAAGCAAACGGTAAATCCAGTGCATTTACTATAAAATAACAATCGGCTACACAAACAGATTGTGTGGGCTCCCTGTGGTTATAGGTCGCGGACCAATGACCGCTAAGCGAAATTTGGTGATATGTTTTCAAGAGTCGATAAAACAAAAAATTCAGAGTCTATAGCAATATGCTTCCAACAGCAGAAAATAGTTGATCTGAAAACCTGTTCTGCAAAAAGGCACGTCTTCCCGTTGCGTTTTATTTATTCGCAGGCTAAGTAAACATGACCATGTAATTTACGGTGCCTCAAAAATCCAAACTTTAACCTACCTGTCAACAAACTTAAATTTCGCGCCTTTACCCACGTACAGCAAGAAAGCCGATACTTCGTCATATGAAAGAATGCTAATCAGTAAATCACGATATCTTTCATAATTCAACGTATTTTTTTTCTCGACGAAATATTTTATCATTTTCGGAAAAGGCACGGACCAAGGACAACATACTGTAGACTTTCGGCTAGGAAATCCGAACAGATGAAAAATTTTTAGAGGACAAAAATATGCCGATAACTACCTTTTAAATACTAAAATACGTTCAACAATGCTATCTTTAAGTGGGTTTGAACTATATTCTCGTGGGGTGCCCCTGATTCAGTGTTGATTAGTTAGGATGTTTGACGTGAAAGCCGCTCGTTTGGCGTTTGACGAACTTCATGCTTTATTAAACGCGGGTCCATACCGCATGACAGACATCCGCTTTATTAATTTGTAGTCTCTTGCTCCCTCCTTTCTTGCTCTTTCTGAGGTAAGTTATTGTGATAAATGCAAAAATTAAAAAGTGTCCAAGAATAGACACATACTGTATTTAATGCAAATCACGAACGTCAAACTTCATGTGTTTTTCGGAATGGACTCTCATGATTTCAGTTGTATAAGTTTGCTGTTACAGATGAGTGAGAGAGTATAACGTCTACTAAGAGTATTGTACTGGAACAGGAGCTTTAGTATTGTCCGCAGAATCCTGATGTATGTTTACGGTACACTAAAGGCGGAAGTAAAGTGGAAGTTTTGACGACTCATTTGCATAGAATCGTTTTCGTCTTTGGTCCAGTGAGGATGGTAAACAACTGCCACGATGAGGGACAAAAAACCTCTCGGGAGGAGGTTTGGTGGCAAATGCACCCATAGGATTTCATGATCTTTACAGCACGTTAACTCCTGAAGCTTTTTAAATACTGAAGCCCTTATAATTTTTAAAAGACTCCAGCCTGTGTACAGCCACCCCCCTCAATTTTTCCAAGGGGATCTAGGAGGCAGCTGTACACAGGCTAAAAAGACTCAAGTTTCCCTAGGATGACTGAACAGATACAAATTTTATAGCACCGCTTAGAATGTATTTTTAGAAATGTAAAACTACTATGGATAGCCTAAAACATGTTTTCAAATTGTTTAGGAGGAAATTGTCGTTGGAAGCCCCTGGAGCTAGCCTGCTTGCTCAAATCTCTGAAACAACAATACTGAGGAATCAAGGCATGAGCCAAGCCAACCCGACTAACCAGGCTGGTTTTATTATTATTATTTTTTTTTTCATCTAAACTGAGAGGCCCTTTAAATCTATAAAACGATTGAAATACAGACTCTACTTCAGAGGCTTACATGAATGAAGCTTTTTGTCAATTTCCAGTTCATTTCTATTTGTATAGTTAATGGTGTGTTTTGTAGTGATATTTGGCATAAATACGAGTGATATTTCAAAATTGTTATACATAATTTCACGAGCCGTTAGGAGAGAGTAATTTCAGATGATTTTGAAATATCTCGACCGGTATTTATGCCAAATATCACATACAAATCATACTATTATTAATTTGTTTATACTACTACCCACAAATGGTTTGTAATTTTCACGTGAAGGTTTTTCAAATTAAGCTGAAAAACCACTGGTCTAAGCCAATCAAATTGCAGAAATTTCTCATGTAGCAGTATAATGCAGTAATGATCAAATACAAAGATGTCTGTCGCATCTGCCAGATCTACAAGTACCATCTTTGCTCCCGGGGGTTCTCAAAAAAGTTTTATACAGGAGGCGCCTCCCTATAATGGCCTATACAGGGGAGCTCTCCTTGAAAGGGAAACCTTTTACAGGCTTCAGGTATATGTCATTTTCGTCTGTAAAAAGGTCCAAAAGTGCAAACAAAGACATTTTATGGCTGTGAAAAAGTTGAGGAAATGTTGTTGTTGTTGTTTTTTTAAGACAGTGCATTTGCAGCAGTTAAAAGGGATGCAAAGTTCTAAACTAGGTATGTGAAAGGGGTACATTTTGTCAATAGAAGGTATACGAAAGGGTACCTTTTCTGTCAGAAAATGGTATACAAAAGGGTAAAGGACTTGGACCTCAGGTTGTACACCTGGCTCTACTTGAACCCGACTGGCCAGCGGGGTGCTTGTTTAAAACTACTTATTAGTGAAAAACACTGTACCGCATAATTTTCAATCATTCTTTTTTTGTCGACAAATGACAAAAATATGATAAGAAGAACAATTCTAACAATCGTTAGAGGTCTACTCCTCTTGGCAGGTCCAAAACATAACAATCACAATGTCAGGTAAGATTTGACATAATAAAACACCTTATTGCTGCTGGAATGGCGGGGTGCTTACATAAGGCATGGCTATTTTGAGTAAATATGGTCGTGAAGAAATATTCATGACACAGCCCTGACGGATCGCATTTTCCTTCGATGGATACATGTATAACAGGTGAACAGGGTCTTAATAGATAATCTTATATAAAATTATGGCTGATGTATACTTTGCTGTCTCAGTTTCAATATTTACATCATTGCCACGAAAAAACCATTGCTTTTTAATCTCATCATTGTCAGGATCTTACGCACTATGGCAGCTATTCCAATCTGCATACCTAACAACTGTTCATGGGAGGAGACTACTGGAACCTTCCAACAGGACAGGGAGCAACCTCGCACGGAGCTCCAGCTTGTAGACGAGGGACTACAAAAGCTAAGGGCCATTCACGGGCCAGTATGTGTGGTATCAATTGCAGGACCTTCCCGGAGGGGTAAATCATACATTCTAAGCCAGGTGTTTGACCAAGGAGATGTGTTTCCCTTGGGTCATTCATTTGATCACGAGACCATGGGCATTTGGATGTGGGTTATTCCTGAGAAGTACCGGGATGATTTCGGCCGTGAATTCACAGTGGTGCTACTCGATTCTGAGGGAACAGATGCTGTGATTGCTGAAGGTATCGATGATCGTGCCAGTTTTACACTGAGCGTGCTTCTGAGCTCTGTATTGATCTACAATTCTGTTGGTATACCTACGAGAACAGATTTGGAAGTTCTTGAGTATCCTTGTAATACCTCAAAATCTGCCAATGAATAATTTAGGCTACACTCTAGTTTTGTTTTTTTGATATTCACTAAACTTCATCTAACTCTAGCAAACTGTTAATCAAGAGTGTATAATTGCTTGGTTTGAGATCCTCAAAGACGATAAAACGATAGACAACGAGCACTCTACACATACACACTCGCACTGTATTAACAGTTAACATTTAAGTGAAGTCCTAATCGAGGCAGACGGAGATACAGGGGTACAGCAGTCAGTGATAAATTACAAATAAAAAAATAAATAAATATAAGTAAATAAATATATTTATTATATAAACTGCAGTGTTTTACAAGGATTTCTACCACCGAGAAATGTGGTATCTGAACACACGTAAAAATACGATATTTTTACATGTGAAGATATCGATAATTTCACTGACATCAGGTTTGTCTCTTAAATTGTACTTAAATTCGTTGGTGTATCATCGAAACATCTTCGGGTCTTCCTCGAAAGTGCTCGGCAATCTTCGGACATCTTCGGAAATTTTCGGAATTTCTCGGAAAATGTTCAGGAACGTTCGTCTGGTCTTCGGGACAATTTTAAAAATCTTCGGAAATCTTCGAAAGGTGGTCAGAAATCTTCGGAAAATCATCAAAAACGCCGTCATCAGTATGTTTAGTATGTTTATATAATAAAAAGAATATTACACGTTAGCTCGAAGATATGAATTTTATGTTCTCGTGGCAAGAGCAATATCTCACTTGTTCGCTGCGCTCACTCGTGAGATATTGTTCTTGCCACTCGAACATAAAATTCATATCTTCTCGCCACCGTGTAATATTCTCTATATAAATCTGTCTGGATTTGCAAAAAGGTACCTCCAGGATTTTTGAGCAACTGTCTCATTTGAGGCTTGTTCAGTACTTGACCATTTTTTTCTTATGTTTTCAGTAGAAAAAACTTCTAACAAGCTGCAGTAGACCAAAAAAGAAATGTGTTTTCAATGCTGTTTACATCCCCCCCCCCCCACCTCTCCCCTACCCATCATTTCCCATAATTCTCTCCTGGTCATAAAACATTATGACATTTGAAATCAGTGCATGTGGCAGAAGTTGTTTTCCTTGGTCAGTTACTTTTCTAGATTTCTTTTTGGTCGCCTGCAGCAAAGTTTTCTGGAAGGCATATTAAGCCTTATGAAGGAACAAGTCTCATGATTAGCAAAGTCTTCCGTCGTCCAATATGTTACCGTATTTCGTCTCATTTTGGCTAAACAGGTGAAACACTGTTCTCGGGCTTGAGACGGAAAGGCATCATATTGCAAGCTTTGATGTGGGCAGTGACGAGTCTCTGGCCTCAAAAACACAGGAAAAAATAACGGATTCCCATTTTTGGATATTTTAGGGTATTTAAAGAATACCCATAAAAATCCCAAATTTGGCAAAGTGAGACAAGTCCCAACCAGGGAATTCCCAACCAAGTTCCCTGATTGGGACTTGTCTCACTCTTCCAAATTTGGGATTTTTGTGGGTATTCTTTAAATACCCTAAAATATCCAAAAATGGGAATCGGTTATTTTTTCCTGTGAAAGTAGTTTGTGAGAGTCAAATATATTCGGTGAGAGCAAAATTGAAGCTGATTTCTGACCAGGCCAGAGACTTAGTTAAAAATTGTTTTGAAGGCCGGCCTCTATGTGACCCTTTCAAAACGGCTCATCTGTATCCAAGATCTTGAATAAATCGACGGTGTCAGCAAAGTTTACATGTGATGATTTTATGTGGAGAAAGCGAGAGTTATTGAGAGAAAGTAATTTGATGATATTTTGCCCGTATTAAGTGTGGAAACATTGTGCCTGGCTGGTTGGGGATAGTTTTATCAGTGCCGCAAACTTGGTTGATTGTGTGATTTCCTGAGGTTGTTGACAGACAGGTTTCAGGTATGTTGTGGCACTCGTGTTATAAGAACATTGTGTACAAGCATAAAAATGCTTTGTGAGTGTTTAGTTGAAGTAATTTTGTCTTAGACAACCGATTGTGCGGTCAAGAAAGGAGGATTCTAGGTGACTGTTTTAGTCAGGCATCTCGTCATGAGCCTCATAGTTCGAGAGCTGACCAAAAGGTCATTTTTTCTGTGCTTTTAAATGATGTTCATTTCATTACAAATCTGTCGCTTTTGCCAAGAGCAATTTTTTGTGTGTTAATTGCCAGCGATTAATTTTCCTGTTTTAAACCCTAACTAGCAACTTTCAACTGCTTTTTATTCACCTCCAGGGTCAAATAATAGTGAAAACGCACTTGAAATTTCTGTAGGTACCTTTTTATAAATTCCGACAGATACATATATAATATAAATAGGTAAATAAATCTTAAATGTAGATAAGTAACATTTAGAAAATCAGCATTTACCCTCTTATATTTTTGCACAATGCGGTAGCCACGAAAAAAGGAGAAGAAAAAAAAGAGGATGTGAGCTCCTCATTCCAGTGTTTTTATCTTGCTACCACACTAACTTTAAGGAAAAATAAGAGGCCGCTTGCGGTCTAGTGAAATAAGGAAAAGAAGAAAACAAAAACAACTACATGAAAATAAACAAATAAATAGCATACGGGTGAGCGCTGTGTAAGGAGAATGTTAATTGGGTATTTTGTCTCCACTTCAATAAATAAGGCAAAGAAGTCTACTTTGGCGACTTTCGAGAAGTAAATTACTAAGAAAATACATAATATAGAATGTAATGATCGAATAAAGATTTAGGCTAGGTAAAAACCAACCTGAACCAAACTATGGCTGGAATAATGTTCAGTTAATTTATTGAAAAATTCACCTTAAGCAGGAGCCATTACCTCCTGCCTTAAGCTAGAGGAAAGTACTGTTTAAATAGTAATAATGTTTGAAGCCTTCTTGACATGCTGTAGTTCTGTAATCGATGTTTGTCGGCACATCCAAGTCAACACAGGTCAAACATTAGATGATGAGTCATCAAGACAGGTGTTTCCATCGTTTGTGTGGTTGCTGAGAGATGTCTTGTTAAGTCTGCCCAAGGGTGTGGACAACCTAAGGGAATATTTCCTTGAAAAGGTAATTAATACATTAGGAACTACAAAAATATACTGTACTATATTGATATTGCGCGTTCATGTTTCATCTTTGCTTAGTAACATTATGTCAGGGCTGCCCACGGGTGTGGACAGCCTAAGGGAATATTTCCTTAAAAAGGTAACTGCATTGTGAGACCTTAAAAATTTACTGTACTGATATCGCCATTTCATCCTAGTCTTATACTGACATGTGCAGTTATGACTCATGTGAAGCATTCTCTTCCCCAGAGCCTGTTGTTTTTTGGTCACGTGGTCTTGAAACAAGAGGCTCTGGAAGCAGCCGTTACCGGATGTCAGAAATGTTCTGACATCCGGTCATGCATGTGCAGAAGTTACAAATATCATTGCTAGTGCTTATAATGGATTTTTGTCCCTCACTGCTCCACTGGGGAAAAAATTTTACTTCCTGAGCTCTCTCGATCCAGAGAGTGGCTTCTTTGGGCTGTTTTAAAAAATTTAATACAGACTTCACTCAACTTGGACTCACTGATAATTTAGAGTCAAAAGGAGAAGGCATTAACAAAAACCAGCTGAACACATTGTTGGGTTGCAGAACTGAGACAATTGATCGGCAGATTATTGTCTGAGTTTAACATGTGAGTTCACGTTTGGCGAAAACTAGCCTGAATTTCATCCGATTACTTTCAGCTGTTATTATTCCCTCAGTAACGTCTGAATCGACGGGCCATTATTGCCGTCCAGTGACGTCACTAAATATCGTTTGGAAATGTCTGCATGACACAGAATTGCTTTATTTTTTTGTATCGTGGATTTTCATATTTAACGTTCAAACTATCAACTGCTTGCAGTACAACTCTGAACATGTTGTAGTTCTATAATCAAACTCGGTTGCAATCACGCAGTGAAATAAACACACACACGGAACACTTAGTTCAAAAACACAATGATTTGCTTTAATTGAAAGGAAGCTATTTGGTCCTTAACAAAGAAAAAACAAGGAAACAAGAAAGAAAAGCTAACATAATCATTACACTTGACAGTGAAAATAGCAGGAAGGTCGAATTATAACATTGATCTCAGAAAACTTCGCATTAAACAAAAAATTATCACTGGCCTTCGAAACCACAAAGCGGCGCTCTAAATGAAAACCCTACCAACTCTCCGCAATGATTCTTCGTTTGCAGTTCAATTTCGCATTTCAGTTTCAAAGACAAGGGCAATTTTGCTGTTCAAGATAAAGATTAAGTTCATCGAAATGTTTGAACTACACAAAAGAATGCCAGGGATGCGATCCGCTGAATATCAAGCGACAATCCCGCTAAAATTTTTCATAATTATACATAATTATGCAAATGTTTAGACAATCAACCAATCAAAATCACTACCCGGTTTTCGGTTAGTGAGTGATGTCACTGGACGGTATTAACAGCCGGTCGATTCAGACGTTATTGAGGGAGTATTAACGACTCAAAGTAATCGGATGAAATTCAGGCTAGGAGAAAACGAACACTAGCTGGGAAAGAAAGATCGGAGATCGAAAGGCAGTCTTAAAAGATATCTTGTTCCATGTACTGCAAATACTATCTTATTTCAAAATGTCTTTTGAAACGAAACAATTCATGTGTTGTGTTATTAAAGACTGGACAGGAAAAAAATATATATATATTCGTTTCACTCCACCTAGTTGTGTTTTTTCCTATGTTTATTTCCTTTTGAAGTGTCGAATGGTAGGTTTTAATTTGGCCCATGAGCTTTTGTGTACAACATGAGTCAAGACAACCGAAGGTTTATGTCAAAACAAATCAAGATTAATCATTTTTCGGTCCCAAACAGGGTTAAAAACAGTACAAACTTTGTCCAGGAGAAGTGACAGCTTACTGGAGTGGGGTCGATAGATATCTGAGGAAGTCTCTTACGGTTCCATTCTAGAAAACTGACTAAATCAAATTCCAGTTCAGTTCTTTTTGTACAATAACTTTAACTGAAACTTGATTCACTCAGTTTCCTAACCCTAATCATAAAACTTGAGGGTCATTTGGTGTTTGGCCATTCAGTGTTTTGCTAAAGGGGACCTTTATCTGTAAGAGGTTTATCCTCCTAAAGATTGGAGTTAGCATCTCCTAACTAAATACCATCATCAGTGCCTCAAGGAGAGAGGTTTTAATAATTTTGCTGTCGAACTGAGAAAATCGTGAACACCTGAAAAATTTCAGGAATGTTGATTATGTAGTGACCAATCACCATAAAGTTCAGGACACATGAGCAAACCTCAAAAGGGTTGGGGTTTTAAGGTTTTTTTTTTTTCCAAAAAGGAGGGGCTTATAACTGGAATAAAAAAAAGCGATTCAAAACAAAATACATTTTGCATTTACTGATTTTTAACTAAGCTTCAAAATGTAATAGTGGAAGCTTAGGGGAGGGCTTATAACCGGCAGAGCCATTTTTTCTTGGTTACCAGTAGATGGGCCTTTAACTGAGGGGTCTTATAAATCGGGAAGGGGGGGACTGAAAAGAAGTAGTTGGTGGTAGCCTGTTCCAGACATTCAGGTATTAGGGAAGCACAAAGAGAACAAAGCAAGAAAAACCCTGCATTTTTTATTACTCTTCTTCTCACTATTGGAATGCCAGCTAGAACAGGTTATCGTAAGCTATATAGCCGTACTTTCTTACCTGGAACAGTGAAATGTAGAGTGATATACACCCCATAAAGACTGTATGCTTTAGAAGACCCCCTTAAGAAGTACACTTTGAGTATCACACAACCCAAAAGTATTTTGTGGGGTTAAGTTGCTCTCATCATGTTTTGAGAGTGGAGTGCAAGGCCTGGTTTGAAATCGGTCAGTATAAAACATGGACTGCGGACGGCGGACTGCGGACTGGGTATAAAATACGGACTGGGTATAAAACGAGGACTGGAAAATACGGACTGGGGATAAAACACAGGGCGCTTTCCATTTAGGAAAAAAACTCGGAAATTTCGGTGGGAGCAAAAGTGGAATTTCCGATTGGTAAAAAGTTGTTCCATTTGGTCGTAAACCTCGGTACGTCGCGGTGCCCGACGGTGGACCTGGAACTGGTACAAACTACGAGAAACGTCAATGGAACACGACATTCCGTTCGGAAATTCCAACCGGGAAAACGGGCCCACCTTTTTAGATTTTCCACTTTTTCTGGGAATTTTCCAGTGGGATGAACCGACGAAACGTGTTCCATTTACCGCCGAACCTGAAATAGGCCATTTGCACTAAGAGGCATGTGACATCGTTTTTGTGAAAATGAAAGTTACATGATTTTGCCTTCGAAAAACGATTAGTGGGTCATATGTTAAACAAAATAATAGTCACTTGGTTTTTCAAACCCGCACCATTTTCTTAAAATGAATAAGTTCGTAAATGGTCACGTAACCAAAATGTGATTTATAAAATTTTGAATTACCTCTCTCTGAACACAAATTTTGCACTTAAACTGCAAGGAAAACGTTGAAAAGATGATTTGAAAACGTTTACAGCACATTTGAGCGTAACTATCAAACGTTGAACAAGATATAAGCAAGAAGTAGTTTTGTCCGCCATGTTGGAGGGCAAAAGCATGCCCTCCAACATGGCGGCCAATACAAATCATACTACTTTGCTGAAAAATCAAAGTGCCATAAAATATCTCCCTTGCGTTTCCTCTCAAATTTCGGGTGTAAGATAATTTTTGTGTGCTCTAACAATTTTTGGCATCAGCAAGATTCCAACTCATTGTTTAAAGGAAGCATTGGTCACGTGACCTCTTAGTGCAAGTGGCCTATCCCGGAAATTTTGACTAAATGGAAAGCGCCCACAGACAAGGTATAAAAACGGTGGTAAAAACGGTGGTAAAAACGGTGCTAATTGGTTCTAGGTAAGGAAAAATAAGATCAAAAGATCGCTAAATAACATGCGCAAGTCGAAAATACTCCTATAAATTCTTAGAGGAGGTGTGCCGCCCGGTTCTCTGAATCATGAGCCGGATCAAAATGCTATTTTCTTCACCCATTTTTAGATCTTGTCTGAGTCTCTAACAATCATGAAAGGGGTCAGGCTCAGTGGGGGTACTCCCTTATATAAGGGAAGGGAAGGAGTTTTGGGCCTTTTTGGTCTGAAAACACTTTGCCCATTTTGGTGTGGTTTTCGAGGGAACTACGGGAGCGTACCTAAATGAACATATTTATCGTTTCAATGCCCAAAGGAATAAGAACGAAATAGAACTGTGCGAATTCGAAATGCATTTGGAGAATTTTTTTGTTTCCGCTCTAACTTAGTAATGATGACATAATTTTTGCCTAATTAGACTTAACCTGTTCCAGGCTCCGAGATAGTTGGGTCTGCTGAATTGAGAAAGCGAAAACACGAAAATAAAACGGAGGAAAACTGGGGAGTCTCCCCAACTATCTGGGAGCCTGGAACAGGCTAAATTAGGCCAGGTCCGAAAATGGGTATGGATTTTAGAGATCTGGTCTAAAAACTGGTGTGAATAATGACATTTTTCGGTCTGCAATAAGGTCAGGATTCGGAGAACCGGGCACCACACCCCCACCAAGAATTCCCAATAGTACCTTCCTCCGGGGATCAGGAGCAGGGTGTAAATCATGTCATTATAATCATCGCTTAGAATATAAAGTTGGATGACTCATTTCGTTTATTATTCACGTATGTGAGTAATCCCTCCCCCCACCCCCCCAATACTGCTTTTGTGCATCGCGGAATGCCCTACACTGACCTTCTCGTCTGAGTTCTTCATTCAGTCCTCATATTGCCAAGGCTTTATTTGAAACGGAATTGTGGCATCCGATAAGAATTTTACTGATCTGACTAACACCAACACTATTTTTTTTTTAATTCGGTGCTTCTTGTTGGTTTAAAACTGCAAATTGAAATCTCTTCTAACTCCTTCTTTTCAAAAAATTCAGAGTTTAATTTCAGTTGCCTTGAGTACCGCCATAACCTTCCTTTTCCGTAGGAAGAATAGACTATGTGGACAGCCAAGGCAATGTTAAAGCTGGGACTACTGTTTTTGCTAGTCCGCTTTCCATTTCTCTGAGTTTTACGTTTCTAAAGGTTTTTTATAAACATAGTCCGTAGTTCTCGTTTTTTTACCTACAGTAGTCCGTGTTTTATACTCAGTCCGGGGTCCGCGTTTTAGACCTAGTCCGTATTTTATACCCAGTCTGCAGTCCGTGGTCCGCAGTCCAGAATTTTGGATCAGACCTGAAATAGGATTGGTCAAAATTTGGCAAGGCATGCAGGGCCAACCTGAACTAATTTTTTGCGGGTAGTACAGTTGTATTGAAACTGAATGTGGTGCTTTACAGAGTTAAAGTACAATATCTGCTCACAGCTATAATAATTGTATAATTGATTAAGTTCCCTTAAAATTGATTATTATTTTGTGTTATAATATGAGGGCCAGTTTCCAACTAGGAAAGAGTTTTACCAGAACTGAATCAATGACCATTGGAGGCAAGTTTTAATTTGGCTCATTATAATATATGTCAATAACCAAGTAAAGAAAGATGCCCCATGCTTCAGTAAGCTAAGGCTGTGTGCAAGCTCAAGGAGGGGTGGAGAGCAGAGGTAGTTAGGATAAGCTAGTAAACCAGAATAGTATTGTTGCTCAAACTATTGGGATGTTACCCAGCCTATCAAAGGTGACATACTGCAAAATCCAGTGTTGTGATCATCAACAACCACTTACCCCTGCAGTATGATGCAGTATGATGAAGAATTCAAATTTTATTAAGATAAGTCTTGCATGCCTGACCCAAGGCAGCAAGACCAGGGGTTAGGTATGAGGATGAATTAGTGACTTACAGATATTCAGTAATATTGGTCGAGGTACAGAGGGGAGTAGCTTTGCAATTAGCCCAACATTTTTACTAATTTTTGTGACAATAGAATCAGTGTGGTATTTCCAAGAGAGATTCTGATCAATAAGAACACCCAGGTGTTTTCTGTAAACTTTAGACTCGAGACGGACATTTATTCTTTTCACTATCAAACATGCAAAGTTTTGGTTGGTATTAGCAAGTTGCTTTTGGTAAGGACGACAAGTTACAAAGTTGGATTTATTAATGTTAAGTGTTAGTGTGTTCGCTGTCAACCAGTTTTAAAGGTTTTGTAGCTCATTGTTGACTACTGTCTCAAGATCTTTCAGATTTTTGTCCGCATAAAGAATGTTAGTGTCTCAAAGAGTTAAAACCTAAATTTATTCTACCATCTGTGGATATCATTGACATATAGCAAGAAAAGCAATAGTCCAAGAATTGATCCTTGAGGAACACCACATCAAACGACGGCTTTATCTGATATATGATGGCGTACTTGCATTGTTTGCATGCGATTTTTGAGATATGAGGAGAACCAATCATTAATTATTCCAGGAAAGCCATAGCGATTGAGCTTATCAAGACGTGAGCTTATCAAGCAAAATGTCGTCATCTATGTTGACGAAGGCTTTTTAAGATCAATGAATACTCCACAAGATAGCAATCGTCGATTCATGTTTTTCTGTATATCATTAACAATGTCCAGTATTGCGTGTTGGGTTGAATTCCCCTTACGAAAGCCGTATTGTGAGGAATACAAAAGCTCGTGTTTCTCTATATAGCTCGTCAATCTGCTGTAAATTATTTTCTCAAATACTCTATTAAAATTTGAAAGTAAAGGGATAGGTCTGTAGTTATTGTTTGCGTCCGTATCAACGTCACTGTTAAATACTGGCGTAATTTTAGTAATTTTGATCATTGATGGATGTCCCTAATCTGACAGATGTATTAAGTATCTCTGTAAGAACTGGAGCAATGACGGCATTGAACATTTGTGCAGTTTTGTGGGTGAGGAGTATAAACCATAAGAATTATCATTCGGTACAATTAATATTTCTAACCTTAATTCTTCAGGTAAAACATGTTGAAAAAGGAAGGATGAAATTGGAGATTTGCACTTATCAACATTCTTGCGGATGTTTTTGGGCAATGGGCAGTCATTAGCAAGTCTGTTTCCGACTGTTGCAAAGCCAGTTCATTAATAATGTTTGGTATCCGGGAACCTTCCTTATTAAAATCATTTAGTGCAGATATGACTTTTTCCGTCGATGTATAACTTCATTGATTCCTTGTCAGGTTTTTTCATGTTGGCCATATTATTTTCGAAAAACGTATCATAGTATCTCCTTTTACTTAAGCATATCAGTGAACAACTTTTATTTCTATAGTGTTTGTACCTAACTTCGTCTCCAGATGCATATAATTTATTTTTAACCTTAATCGTCGCCTTAATTCCATTAGTAATCCAGGGTTTAGATAGCTGCTTTGCTTTGCGATTAGATAATTTTTCATGGGGGCGTGTTTGTTAACAATTGTATTATACGTGTTGTAAAACGATGAAAACAATTTGTTCCATTTGCAATTATTCGGTTCTAGTCCTTCAACCCCGAAACCTTTTTTCTCTGTCTCCCCAACAGGTTTTTAAAGTTGTTGATCGTCCAAGTGACAATTCACGAAGAGTGGTGGAGAACTTACTCAAGTATTTCCCAGACTTTGATGCTTTCCCACTCTCCCCGCCATCAGCAGATCCTGAGGTCATCGGAAACTTATCTGATGCCAGAATACAGGGCCAAATAAACTCGTCTTTCAAGGAGGGGATTCAGAATTTCAAGAAGATGCTATTGACAAAGTTGGGCCCGAGAAAGAGATACGATGGGCCGGGACTTGTCACTGGCGAAGGTTAGACAAAAACTAGCTAATACATCGGGGCAGCCTGAGCTTACATGATTGGGTTATGCTTGACATTTATTTTTCGGTACGGCTCAAAGGAGCAGCCTTAGGTCGTCTATTTTATTTTTGTTATTTTTATTAGCTTCGCCAACAAAATATAAATACATTCAGGTAATCAAACAAAGTACCAAAGTTAAGAAAAAGTGGCAGGAATTCCACAACAGCGTGAGCCAGTTACCTCGGGCCCAGAAAATTAAAAAATATAAGAATAGTTACTAGGGGTACCTTCCGGCAAGTGCCAACGAGGCGAATTCGTTTAACGTTTGTGGAAGGTGCCTATTCAGATTTTATTTCATAATTTTAGAGGTGTAAAATGGATTCCGCTATAGAAAAGGATGGCACCCAACTTCAAAACAACAACTTTAGCACATTCTAGGCTTTCACTTTTATTAAACAATAACAACATGGCTTGAAGCTTTGTTGGTAAATATGAGCAAGTTTGCACTTGTGTTTCATGGAAAATTCCATCGTATCAAAGCCATAAACGTTAGAGAGAAAAATATAGTTCAAATGAGGCCTTTGACTGCTGAAATTAAAAATAATGATCAACAGCGTCATCAGGGATTAGAAAAATATTTTGCGTGGTAATATACATAAGAAAAAAATTGGTGTAAACTAAAATGTGTGAAAAGCGCGCAAGAATGGGGCGGAATGTATTAGAGGTATAAAAATATAAACTTGAATAAAATACAAAGATCTAATGAGCGAGTGTCACAGGACAAAGAGTCTCTTGAAAGGCATAATGATAGTCTGAAAAACAAAAGGTCTGCAAATTCGTTGCATTTCTCACGGGAGTTTTGGGCTGTCTCAATGTAAATCGAGCAGCAAAAAAACCATGCTGGATGACAAAATCTCTCGAAAAACATAAATAAATTTTAAAAAAAGGTCCGCAAATACGTTGCATTCCTCACGGGAGGTGAGGACTGGCTCAGAGTAAATCGACCTGCGAAGAACACGCTGGTTCTGATATAAGTTTTGAGAATATAACCCTATGCCTTGATCAACTACCGCTTAAAATTCAGTTCACAAAGGAAAAGAGAACACTGAAAACCCTGGTTCTGAGTCGAGAAGCGAACACGCTACCTCAATATAAATCGACCTGCAAAGAACAAGCTAGTTCTGACAAAAATTTGAGCGTAAAACCCTATTCCTTGATCAGCTGCTGCTTTAAACACAATTTATGAAGCAAACCAGAGCACTAATTTTCGTTTCAAACTAGAAATCGTATTAAAGCTGGCTCACCAGTTAGGTCCTCTTGAACAGACAACGAACAGCTGCACACTGAATCACCCAATCTTGAACCACGAGTTGTAAATACAAGACAATGACGTTACGATCCAAATATGGGCTCTTACTTACACCCAAATATGGTCAAAAATGCAAATTTTAGAGGGTTACGCAGAATTTGAGAGTCTTGGCCTACATTGCGCGGCGTTATAATTCTGCCGCCGAGTCAACCTCGCTTCTTAGCTCGGTTGCCTCGTTGGCAAAAGTACTTAATCATAAAATTAAAAGCATCACGACACAGGCTAAGTAAGACTACGACACTTATTACAGTTAAGACAGACAGACTTAAAAGTGCGGAGATTTTGCCAGTCGTAATTACTTAAAGCGGTTTTGTAATACTCTATCACTGCCCGTTTAAAATCATTCAGGGCATTCATGCGCAGGTTCAGTTCATCAGCAACAAAGTTCCAGACGCGTATGCATATGATAAAGGACTTTTGATAAGTTGCTGTCTGACAACTCGCGATTGTAAATATGAGAAGATTATAGCCAACTCGGCGCTACGCGCCTCGTTGGCTATCTATCATCTCATATCCAAAGCGCCCTCGTGGAATAATTGTTAAATATAGCATGATGACTAAGCAAATCGAAACTCTAGCGATGTAGAAATAATAGTAAATAAATTATTAATTGTAATATCCAATTATTCAGCTTTTAATAATTATTACATATTCGACAACCCTCAAATTTATACACCTAGGTGAAGAGAGAAAAAGTGGAGCAAAGCTTATTGTCTCAGGAAAGAACGCAACGGCAAGGCTCGGACACGGACCTGGACCCCCAGATCCAAAGTTAGAGATGTTAACCATTCGTCCACCACGCCCTTACCGGGAACGAGACAGTGCTTGGTTGCAAAATGCCGCTTTGTAAATGAATTATGCCGGGCATTACGTTTTCCTTTAAAAATTTGTTAAGTCAGATTAACCTTAGTTACTAGACTGGAAATTTCTGAAATACTATCATCCATCCATGTGTCCTCAAAGAATCCCATCTTCGAATAAAACCAGAATAGAACAAAACAGAAGAAGGGACGTCTCCTCGCAGGAAACAGAAAATTGCCTTAGATGAGTGTTGTACAACTTTATAATTTATGTTCTTATTTCTTCTTCTCCTGGCTGTTTTTAGCTTTGGCAACTTTGTTCCAGGAGTATGTTCGCTCAGTGAACTCCCCTGAAGCAATACCTGTTGTCCCAAGTGTGTGGAAAGAGGTTACAAAGAGAGAAAGCACCAAAGCTCTTGAAGATGCTAAAGCAGTTTACGAGTGAGTAAATTACCTCAAACATAAATAGTCATTGCCCTCTTTAGGCGGTATACAATTGAAAAACGTTGCCTAGATGGGTAGCAGACGGGTAGCTTGGAGAGGAGACGTGTGGAACTGAGCTTTGGGGAGTAAATAGCTGCTTAGACTGGCCTTGTGCTCCTTCGTCGCGATTATTGCTTATTCTATACCCCATAGTCGTCATGCGTCTGATATTCTCTTTTACCTTTTTTCAGTTCTCTTTTTTCATTTTCTTTTTACAAGGTGATCGAAATTAGAGGTGTAAATCTCCTTTATTTTTGCACTATTCCTTAGAAAAGCGAGTTTAAACATGAGGATCATCGCAATTGTAGAGGCAACTTTACCTCGCAATCATTTTTCCTTTCGCCTACTGCTCTCTCGTTACTTCTCGCCCCGCTGAAACACAAAACAGAATTTAACCCTTGACCTTATCTAGGCTTTGCAAGTTTGGTCCCCCCTTTCTTTCTTTCTCCTGTACCTCTGTCATGAAATTTTCGTGCTCCTTTGGCCGATGATGTCCACACAGTTAGTAAAATGTGAGTGGAAGGCAGGATAGCCTCATGGAATCTCATTGAAGACCTGTGTGATATTGAGTTAGCACCTGCAAAAAGATGATGCGTGACGCCGTCAGAGGGAAGTTCTCACCAAATGATTAATAAACAAACGCTACTTTACTTTTTTTGGTTTCAACTTTCAGTGGCGGAATGTCAGAACTCATACAACGAACGGGCCTTCCATGTGATGACAGAAGTATTCGCCAACATCACGGATTAAATCTGCATGAAGCAATAACCTTCTTTGAAAGTAACACAAAGGACCTTGACTTCAATGCGAGGTGGATTTACGTGGAAAAATTGGAGGTACGCTTACACTTCATGATCTTTTGTGTCAATACCTGTTTAGCTGCGGAGAGACCTATACCAATAGTTAATCGTGTTAATAAATTCCCGAATCGTATTCCTTCTCAACAAGCCTTATTTATTGCTTAATTTGGCTGATGTAGCACCGGACCTGCCCAAATTGACCTGTCCGATTAGAAGCTGCTTGTAATAGACAGGTCTAATCACTCAAACAGTTGAACAGCCAATGAAAATTGAGCATCAAATGTTGCTAGCCAATGAAGTTTAACAAATTAGTCCATGGCAGCAAATCAAAACCAAGTCTTTATTGAGTAAGCGTTCCAGCTTGACACAGTTGATTTAAGAAATGTATTTAAAAACGTTCATGCAGTTGGAGCTACGGCCATATTCCAATAGTTTCTTCAGAAGCCGTAAGCCATGTTTTTGCTTTCAGTGAAATAAGAACTTTGTACTTTAACATTCCAATCCTAAATATTCCTTGCTTTTTGTTATTGACACAATTAATTAGTAATAGAACTTCATGTCATACAATTCAGGGTTACTATTAGGAATTGTAATTTCAAACCGGTTTGAAATTACTCATCTGATTACTCCCTGAATTGTACTCCACTCAGTCCTATTCACAACACTCATAATCATACGCGAAGTTGAAATATACCTAATAACAGGTTTAACTTTGCGCAGTAGTCAAACAGTTTCACTTGCGATGACGTAACTCCTGATAAATAGTGATTGGCGTGGAAATCATCCATTGCTCAGCCACGCAGGGGTGAACGGCCCACCCTCCCACCCAGAAAATCGCGTGGGTCATAAACTATAACTAACTACCCCTAAGCCAAAGTCTCCCTGCTTTGCTTAGTCCGCTGATCAATCATTTTTCCCATGCAATAGTACAACTTAGCATGAATACATAATGAATGGGAGTGTTGTTGAACAGATTACTATTCCCATTCATAAAAAATGTGTTGGAGATCTATCAAGGGTAGCGCTGACAGGTGTTGGAATTACCTCAAAGACAACGCAACTGAGTGACATGCGCGCATGCATGCAAGGTGACAACTGCTGGTGCTTGTCTATCAAGAGAAACACAGGATAAAGTGTAATTCCCTGTTTGTTTGTTTTTCTAGGACTACGCAGACCAAAAGGAGCGCGCGCTTTTACGAAAGAACAAACTTAAAACAGAGGAAGAGTGTAATAATCTGATGAACAGGTTACGTTTTCTGTGGCTAGAGCCTGTACTGAAGGATCTCCAAGATCGTGATAACACTGACTTCATGATGTTAGAGTCGCGTCTGAGATCAGCGTATATCAAACTTGACAGTGACTTCAGGGAAGAGGCGCGAGGACCAGAATCTCTGTGCTTCAACTTGGCTTACGTGTATGACCTGGTTGGTTGCGCAAATCTATTTACGTGTTTTCGTTACAATGCACTTTTTCGTGCCGGATATAGGTCAAGCAAAGAGAAGGTCTCCTCATGCAGACCGTTAGATAAGAGGGGGACTCGACCTCGAAAATAATTTTTTATCGGCTCTTTAGGCTTGAGTTTGGCTTGAAAATAAGGTGGAGCCTGTGGCTTCTGAGCCCCGCCCCTAGATCCTCTGTGCCGTTAACACGCCGACACTAATTAACGCCGGGTACTTTTTTGAAGGGGAAAAAGTACTACATTGCGTGCAACAAATTGTATTTCTATTAGACCTAGTAACCAACTATTCAGAGGATAGCGAAGTCCAGCCTCGTTCTCAGATAGGAAAATAACAACATAATCCTAAGTCAGCGAGAAGTACACGACTACCCAAACTCTAGCCATTACCTTACGAACGCATGCACACAGCCGTGGATAGCTGTTTCATCCCTGTTCGGATTCATCAGCATCACTGTACTTAATGAAATCACTACTATAATAGAATAAAAATAATAAAATTATGAATAATATAGACGTCAGACTATAAACAACGACTTTCGAGAGGTATTGCTTAAGTCTTGCTTTTCTACCCTCAGCAACACAGCGAGGAGATGAAAGAATATCTTAATCAACTGAATCAGAGAAGGAAACATTTTCAAGAGATTGCTACAGAGGAGAGTGCAGTAAGAAAAGTGAGGACTCAGGAAGTGGGGAGGGTAAGAGTAAGTATCATACTTTCTTTAAGTAGTCTGTTATTATTATTTTTTTCAGATGTTGTAGAGAGGGCGATACACACAAGAGCCAAGAAAATCGCCTCTATAGAAGTGAAGCAATTTTTTTGCACTAAAGTTAAGGTCAATGACGTCATGGCCTTTTGTCATGTGCTATTTTTGGGTAGTTCAAACCGTTGGATAAGTTTTCTAGTTACCACTAGCCTGTCGTTGGAATGTCATATTGGTGGACTAATGAGAAAAGTATTCATTGGTTGATTTATGTTGTCAAAGAAATAAGCACTAATTCACCTTTGACTTGAAATCGCTGAATCATAACTTCATGATACAAGTTCTATTTCCTACCCCTTTGTCCTTCAAATTTTTTCAGTTCTGGTTCACTTACTCTTGGCGTACACATCGTGCACATTTATTAATGAGGGCAAAGGCAAACTGCAACCAGTTGCAAAAATACCTTACACACTGTACCTTATTTTGGCTCGACTGGCATGGCCTGTTTATGATCTTGTGCTTGTGGTCCTCTCCTTCCCTTATCAAAGTTGCTAGCAATACAAGACCATGCTCAAAAAACGTGGAGGAACAACTTTGACTGCAGGGGAGGAGGGAGGTCAGTACTATATCCAACAGACGACGTGTGAGTTGCAGCGATATGAAGTAAGAAAGGTCGGTTTTTCGTCAGAGTGTTTCAACATTTTTGCATCCGGTTGTATCTCTTTCTAACACGAAACACGATTTTTTACGTACCCTTCTCCCTTTTTGCTTTTCCATATCTCTATGGTTTTCTTTCCTATGCCACCATCACCACCATCACATTTCTTTTGTTTTCCATTCACTACCACGACTATCACATTTCTATTACTTTCCATCCACCAGCACATTTCTATTGTTTTTCATCCGCTACCACCATAACATTTCATATTAATTTTTTTTCTTTAAGTCGTGTGTTCTAATGTGTATGAAAAAAGTGTTGACCACCAAAATGACTTTGTTGCATGCTAACACGAGATAATGAAAAGAGGTGATGCGAACTGGTGTAGTAGTTACATGCAGCTAGAACATGCATGAAACCATAGTTTCTTGGACTGGAATTGTTATGAAGTGGGTCAGCCTCCTTTGTTATATTTTGTTTGTGGATTTGACTGTGCATAACATATAATAGCATTCCTATCATTTTGATCTCATTGACCAATAAAAATGTCACATTAATTTATTCAGTCACAATTTTAGAACAGAAAAACAAAGGATTGTACATCATCAGGGAGCTACCAACATAAACTGAAGCAACGTTGTTTTTACCTTTGATATTTGAGGCCTTTTATAACCACTCTCCCCTACTAACCATAATAAAACACCAACACGTTATTTTTGTACCTGTTCAGGGCACTGAAGTCACAAGGAATGACCATAGAAGAGTCAAAAAGGATGCTGAAGGACTTGACCAAGTGGTAGAATTGGTAGGTGAGGAGGGCATGGGGGCAGGATCCCTAGGAGGATTGGAAGAAGTGGTGGAAGAAGAGTTTAATGATGAAACTGAAACTCAAACTCAAGATGATTCAAAAGGAGAGAAAGTCACTGAAGAACAGTACAGTAAAACAGTAACAAGTGAAGGTACCAGCTGGGCCCTCGAACAGGGGGCTGTTCACTTGATGCTCCCTCCTGATGCTGTATCTGAGCCTACGTCAATGGTGGTCCGCAGGTGGAAATACAGTGTCCGTTCACCCCCGTTACAGGAGAATGAAGCCATCACTAGCAATGTTATCGAATTATCTTCCATGAATGGCCAAGGTCTCAAATTTAACACCAGGGTGAAGCTGTCGCTATCCCACAGCGCAACAGACCTACTAGGCTATGAGTTAGTGATTAAAAAGCTGATTGACAAAGAGGCGAATAAATGGGAAGACATTGATGGAACCAGGGACCTACGTCGTTGTCAAGACCAGCCTTCCCACATGAAAATACCGGATCTTTTCTTTCCCGTCGCTCAAGCTGATATATCTGAATGCTCAACATACGCAGTAGTTTGTCGTCTCAAGGCTTCACCAGCTTACACGGTCAGATCTGGTGGCGGCTCATTCAGCCATCCTGACTTCCCAGGCGTGACAGTTACAATCCCTGAGAATGCTGTTGCACCTACCGCAAAGTTTTCTTTGGAGTTAAAGGTGCAAGAAGTTTCGAATGAAGAATTTGAAGGGGAGGATATAGTTCTTGGACCTGTATTGCGAATCAAGTGCAATCAAGCTATTCAGTTCTTAAAACCTGTCAACATCCAGCTGCCAATTTCTCTTCGAGAGCAACGAGACGTCGGTCTAAATCCCCCCACAACAGGTCACGTCAGAGTGCTGTTCCTCAAGTCCGATAATGGCCAAAAAGAATGGATTGAAATCACTGATGATCTTGTGACGCCGCCAAGTCTTGATAGAAAGTCTGCAAGGTTCGATGTGGAAAGGTTCTCTGCATATTCGCATTATGTTGAGAGGAGAAACGAAAGCTTCAGGTCGTATGGAACAAGAGTAATAAATGTCCTCAACAGACACAATTTTGTTCAGCCCAGGCTAGCAGTCTTCTTTGCTTACTTTCGTCCGAATCTTTTAAACATTTTGTGTCTGATTTGTTGCCCTGCTCACCTTAAAAGAAGAGTGGTGAAGGATCTTGAAAAACAAGGTATAAGGCCTGAGTGGAACAACTCGAAGAAAGATATGGTACCTGGGCACGAAAAGGCTTTCGTGTCTGTATCAGGAGGAATATGCCCATATATAAAGATGGACATGGAACAAATTTTTCTTAGGTTCTTAGAGAACCACTCAGACGATGCTGAGTTGGACGTTTGTTTTCATAATGACGAAAAGGTAGCACGAGTAGAATTTTACAGCAGCTTAAAACCAAGAGCGCCTCTATTGTGTAGATTGCACTTAAAAACGCCCAGTCAGGGTACGGATCGTTCGGACTTACGGGAACCTACACTACAGGCTAGTACATTGAAGGAAGGTAATCCCACGGAAGACGAGCTAGAATGTCTATCAGCAGAAGTCTCTGACCATTGGAGAAAGCTTGGGCGCCGGCTAGCTTTTAAAGAAGCACAGTTGCAAGAATTTGATTCAGGCTATGGAGAAATCTCCGAAAAGGCATACGCAATGTTGTTAGCTTGGAAACAAAGGGACGGCTCAGGTGCTACATATAGTGTTCTGCATAAAGCGCTGTGTGACGAACGGCTAAAACGTAGAGATTTAGCACAGAAATTTTGTTGTTACTGAGTAAGGTTTTTACTGTTTTCACCTTCTTTGCACTGAATCGACAGCAATATGCTTTCTACTTCGTATCGTTCAAATTTCTTCTGCCTTTTCATCTATTTGTGTACCGGGGACTTAAAATTATTTGTATTTTAGATACATACAAAGAAGTTGGATTCGACTTCTTAGAAAGCGCATACATACGCCCAACCGTCTATCTGAGTTTTGGTCATTTTATCATTTTCGTACTTTGGGATTTACAGTTGGCCTATTAATAGTAGAGAGACATGCACTTTAATACATGTATTTTTTTTTAGTTTAAAAGACGCTTATCCAAATGCTTTAAAGTAAGTTTACACACTTAGTGCGAATAGAAGGAATGGTTTCTTAATTGTCCTATACAGACACCCCACTCTAGAAATTCAAGGTACAAGAGTACACTGAACATTAAAAGACCTAATACCTTAGCTGGACAGTGAACATTTGAAATGTTAGCCTCTACTGACTGGAACTCATTTCCTTAGTTTTAAGCTTACAACTATTTTATGTCCTATCAAGCATGAACTTTATAAGTACGCGAGAGAAACTTATATTGATAACCACAGGGGTACGATTTGTTATATATATGTTTAGACTCTTTCATTTCATATCCGATGTATATACTGCCAATGTTTATTTGTACATTGTACTAAATGCAACCTGCGTTGTGATTGGTCTTCGCCCATGATTTATTAGAGTATGGACACATAGATATCGTTACGGAAAACGCGTTATTGGTCCTTACATTTTCTCTAAATTCAACCCGCTTAATACGGACACCCCGTTAATACGGACACTTTCTATGCCTCCCTCAGTGTGCGTTTAACGGAGTTTGACTGTATTTCCCACTCTAACAGAGGAGGAACTCTTAAAGGGTGATTAAGATCCAACGTTGAAGACGTCTAAACTTTCCACCACGATCCCATGGTCAGTATGATTCAGAACGTTAAAAAGTTTCTCAGAGCCATGCCGGACTCGTTGCTTGTTATGGCCAGTCACTAAAGCGTCGTCATTTCAGCCAAACCGATCAGCAACCTAAGTACAATCGGCGATACTTCCGACGCGGAAATCCAGCCCCTTTATGGCACTAATGCCGAGGAAAATTCAAGGGATCAACCATGAGCTCGGCTCAACCAAAGCGACGGCAGCTATGACCCATTGCTGTCGGAAATTTCCGACGATTTTCTCAATAAAATTTAATCAGGTCCGCCCGTTGAAAGACAACTGGCTGAGTTTATCAGCAGGATGTCGGCGAAATATTTGCGTCCAGAACTGTTACCCTGGTTTTCCTGGTTTTCACTAGCGCATAAGCATAAGCATAAGCGTAAGGACATGCGCACGCGCAGAACGACATATTTGACTCAATTCTCGATGTCAGCTCTCCTCAACCCGGTGATAAACAAGTTGGCGGACGAGGCGTCCGCCATATTGCTTTTGATATGTTCGCATGAAGTCTGGGTCAAAGTGACCTATGATTGGTCTGGATTGGTCCACGGCCTTGTGCTTATGAGTATAGCTAAATGTCGTGCGTGTGGGTTACTGTCGTGGGTGAGAAAAATGTCTTTAAAAAAAATATAAGTGAAGAAATCAAATAGCAGGAAGTTGTAAAATTCAGGAAACCAAAATCCCCGCGTACATACCAGTCCTATTCCCCTTCCTCGCGGTCAGCAAAGTAAGTAAGAGAATCCTCTAGTACAAACGGACTCTAAAAAAGCATTTAGGTGTACACTATGTAAACCTGAAGCAGGCTATAGAAAAACTGGAGACTGAACTGCTTTTTTTCAAAGATGTCAACATTCGTGACTAAAACCTCCTTTCAGTTTAAGGAATGATATTTCGAATCGTTACAGCAAAGATTTTGTACACAAAACAAAACAAAAAAAGAATCGAAAAACTGTATTTCCTTACGGCAACAAAATTTACATACAGTCTCGCCTTAACTTGAAAGGTTGGGAATGAAGGTGGTTCCTTCGTAAGATAAGAGACCTAAAACTTCCTTAAGAAAGACTTCTATCCAAAAATATGAAGTACCTCAAAATTGTCCTTTTCGCCTCCCCTTTCTCACGGTGTTCGCATTCCATCGTGTTAAAAAATCTCCGCTGATCACTGGAATTGTAGATCGAATAAAGAATAATAGTGAGCAGCCAGTCCATTCAGCGAGTCAGAGCTGTCCCATACTTTCTGCAAATTGCAGTATAATTTACGTCTGTTTCGTTTATTTCGTGGCGAATAGCTCAGGTATGGATAAGGCTTCACCGGCAACATGTCTTTTATACAGTGATGTGAAAGGGGAGCAAATTCCCACGTAGCTAAGGAAGGAAGAGGACGAAGAAGAAGCCGTGACGAAAAAGGCAATCAAGGAGTTGAAGATTTTAGTTTCGTAAATATTTACAACTTTTTTCTATTTATTTCTTTTTTTTGAATTGCTTTACTTTATCATTTTTTTCTACTGTATACTTTTTTTCCCCAATTGCATTTACCCACACCCACGACCCACCCACGACATTTAGCTACACTCTCGATTGTACGGTGCCCGACTACGTACCATTCAGACGTTGCTGAGAGGAGAAAACGACTTGAAGCAGTCGGATGAAATTCAGGTTATAATGTCTATAATGTAACACCGAAGAAACGGACAAACGGAGGGCATTTTACGCCTCATGCCCTTAGTTGCGCATGAGTAATTAAGTCCTTCTTGACGACTCGGGAGTTTCCCGGAATACTTTCCGTCGGGCCCGTTACCAGCGGTACCGTCAATTATAAGGAAACAGCTAAGACGTCTGTTCCTGAAACGCAGAATTCAGTCATCTTTAGACGAGGTAAGTTGCGAGTACTTTCATAAGAGAAAGCCTCTAGGACCATTCAGTGTTGTTTCATCACGAGTTTTGAAGTGAAACCGTTAATAGTTTGGCGTTTGATGCCCTTTTATGTAAGGAAATGCTTCAATAACAGACACAGGTCGATACGGCATGTTAAAGACATTTCGCTTTCTTCGAAGTAGAATTGCATCGTTTGATCTGATCTCATCTCCAGAGACTGAAACGACCTTCAGCCTTACGGTGTAAAACGCTGTATAAAAATCATCAGCTTCATTCAGTGTAGAAATGCGTTTAAGCAAATCACGAAGGTCAAACTTAAGAATGGACTCGCACGATTTCAGTTGTAAAATTTTTATGTCACAAATAAGATAATAAAGTTTAAGAGTATTTATATTTGCAGCAGGAAAGTTAGTATTTTCACTAAAATCCCGATGTATGTTTACGATCCACTAAAGGCGGAAGTAAAGCGGAAGTTTCGGGGACTCATTTGATAATTTCAGTTTCACTCATGAATGAAGGGTTCAGTTTCTAAAAAAATTGCGGTATTGAGCTGCAAAGATTTGGTTCTGTCAACTGAGTTTATAAGGTAGCTATTAGTACTGACTATCATAGGGAGGTAAAGAAGCTGACTTTTCGGACGCAAGTCAATTGCTGTGACGAATAGCGAACATGCTAAGAGCAATAACAGTGAGCAGGGCAGAAAGAGGAAGACGGCGAAACGTTTGTGTCTGAAAAACATGACAGGGCTATTACTTGCAATTTCTTTGATGATCTTCACTTAACCTTACTGTGCTCTGGTCTTCTACAAAACCAGATCTGTTAAAAGCAGGGTGAAGTTTCGTGGAAGAGTTTTTTTAAACTTTGTCACGCTTGTCACACAAGTTTTGCGGTCTTCCCCCGCCCCCGTCCTTTTGCGTAAGTTCATAACTAAGAAAAGGTTGTTTTACATATGTTAAGGTCTATGGCACTTTACAGATCTAAAACATAACGCTAACTATGTCAAACTCGGTAGCGCTGCATGATCCTGCATTTTTGCTGGAAGGGTGTTTCGGCGCGATGCTCTTCAAGGGCGAGGACGGTGATACATTGTCTCCAGAATCGCTTATAGCTTGTTACTTTGAAACAGCGGGTGGTGAGGAGGATCTTTATATTGTTCTTATGCGAAAATATTTCTAATATTTTTAAAGTATGAATGCGTTGCTGTCTCAATTCTGATATTTAAAGCATCAATGCCGCGATAAACTGTTCCCCTTTAAACTCATCGGTTTTAGGATCGTACGCACCATGGCAGCTATTCCAATCTGCATACCTAACAACTGTTCATGGAAGGAGACTACCGGAACCTTCCAACGGGACAGGGAGCAACCTCGCACGAAGCTCCAGCTCGTAGACGAGGCACTACGAAAGCTAAGGGCCATTCACGGGCCAGTATGTGTGGTATCAATTGCAGGACCTTGCCGGAGGGGTAAATCATACATTCTAAGCCAGGTGTTTGACCAAGGAGATGTGTTTCCCTTGGGTCATTCATTTGATCCCGAGACCATGGGCATTTGGATGTGGGTTATTCCTGAGAAGTACCGGGATGATTTCGGCCGTGAATTCACAGTGGTGCTACTCGATTCTGAGGGGATTGATGCTGTGAGTGCTGAAGGTATCAATGATCACGCCATTTTTACACTGAGCGTGCTTCTGAGCTCTGTATTGATCTACAATTCTGTTGGTGTACCTACGAGAACAGATTTGGAAGTTCTTGAGTATCCTTGTAATACCTCAAAATCTACCAATGAATAATTTAGGTTACAAGTCTAATTTTGTATTTGATATTCACTCATGATAAAGTAAGCAGGATTATGACGGTAAAAGCTCATTTCGTCGTATTCGAGATGGTAGACAAAGCAAAACTATCGCGAAGTCTCTTGCTAATAGCGTCAAGAGAAGAAGATTCAGCAACAGTAAACATTTCTGTTTTTATTCAACAGAGAAACATTTCATTTCACAATGATATTTCCCAAAAGCCGTGAGATTGAAAGTCTTGAAGTGAGGTAATAGAAAAATTAAAAAATCGTGAGGCTCATGGCAGAATCGTAAGCTTGGACTACTTGGGGAGTCGAAGAGCAATTGCTGATCGCTTCATCATGTTTCTATATCGCCTGGACAAGTCAAAAAGCTTCAAAATTTCATAAACTTCTGTCTCAAAGTTGGTCATAGTGCTAATTGGAAACATTCAAAGTTCACATGAAGACTACTTGTAGTCCTATCGAAGCTACAAACTACGAAATTAAAGCTCTAGGCACAATGCACGCTCAGCACTTCTTTATCGAAAGGGACGTTTGGGAACGATCGATCTACGACAATTGTCGTTTTGATATCGGGGATTTTCGTGCGACCAAACGAATCACGAAAGCCGTCTACATCCGTGTGACACATTTGCATATCGTAGTGCCCACAATAACTCGTTCCTTATTCACACTAGAGACGGATTATCCTTCCGGACTGGTTATCCGTTAGATAATTCGCGTCAGACAGATAATACGTCTTAATGTGAAAATGGAACGGTCTTAATTTTGGATGGAGAATCCGCCTGGCTTTATCCATCTGTTTTTCCGTCAATTTTGACGGATTTTGAAGACTGGATTATCCGTCTCTAGTGTGAAAACGGTCATTCTCGCGTTTGTATCACTTGCGGTCTCTTGAAGTAAGGAAAAGAAGAAAACAAAAACAACTACATGAAAATAAACAAATAAACAGCATTCAGATGAATGTTTTACCAGACAACGTTGTGTAAAGAGAACGTTAACTCGGTATTTTGTCTCCAAATTTATCAATAAATCAGACAAAGAAGTCTATTTTGGAGACTTTCGAGAGGTAAATTACCAAGAAAATAAAATATAGAATATAATGATCAAATAATTAGGCTTGGTAGAACCAACCTGAACCAAACTATGGCTGGAATGTTCGTGTTAATTTGTTGAAAAAGGAAAGTACTGGTTTAAATTGTAACAATGTTTGAAATCTCCTTGACACGCTATAGCCATATAATCAACATTTGTCAGCGCATCCAAGTCATCGCAGGGCAAACATTGGATGATGAGTCATCAAGACAAGTGTTTCCATCATTTGTGTGGTTGCTGAGAGATGTCGTGTTAAGTCTGCCCAAGGGTGTGGACAACCTAAGGGAATATTTCCTTGAAAAGGTAAATACATTAGGAACCATAAAAATGTACTGTACTATATTGATATCGCACGTTCATATTTCAGTTTCGTCGTTAGTAACGTTAAGGACATGCACAGTTGTGATTCGTGGAAAGGAATTGATAAACCATAACAATTATCGTACTCTCGGCAAATGGCCGACTTTTTGAATGTCTTTTTTCCGTCTTTTGTTTCGTTGTTATAAATCCTGTTGTGATTTCAAGACATGCTGCGAAAATAAACTACTCTACATGCAGACTAGAGGCCGGGTCCCAGTTGCAGTTTCATTTGAGCTGAGTTTAACAAACTTACTTTTTTCAATTACGTTAACCCTGAAACTTGTTTACAATATTAAAAACCAATGTGTTATTTTTTTCCCTTAAAATTTACTGCGTATCTCCTCGACAGGTTTTTAAAGTCCGTGGTCGTCCAAGTGACAAATCTCGAAAAGTGGTGGATAACATCCTCAAGTATTTCCCAGACTTTGATGCTTTTCCCCTTTCCCCACCATCAGCAGATGCTGAAGTCATAAAAAAGTTAACTGATGTGAGAGCACAGGGCGAGATAAACTCGGCTTTTAAGGAGGGGGTTCAGAATTTCAAGCAGATGCTATTGAAGAAGTTGGGTCCGAAAAAGAGATATGGTGGACCGGGACTTGTCACTGGCGAAGGTTAGTCAAAAGCTTGCTATTTCATCGGGGCAGCCTGAAATCACATGATAAGATCATGCTTGGTTTTCGGTTTTGGGTACAGATCTAAAGGCGTAGCCTTGGATACTTTCCAGGTACCGCTATGCGGAAAATAAAGAACAAACATCCTTCCCAAAACACCATACGCACCGCTTAACAGCCTGAGAACGAAGCCATAGGTAGGCAAAGTCTGGGCCATGATACAAGCCAAGTGGCCGGCCAATCTGGCCAGAGGTTATTCTAGTTCCCATAGCATGCAGCGTTGTGACGACTAAGAGCATTGCTACTACTCCCTCTGGATGAGTTACCCCCAGCAGCATGTCGCCAGCACACCCTTTCTGATACGCCCAGGTGGAGAGAGACACAAAGTGGATCAGTGTTACTTGTGAGGAAACAACGTGACGGCAAGGCCTAAAACCGGACCCGGACCTCCGGATCTGAAGTTCGTGGTGTTAACCACTCGTCTACTACGCCCCTCCGAGAAGGAGGCAGTACGGGCCACAAAATGTCGCCTTCTGAATGAATAATATAATCCCAGCTACTAAGCTTTCCTTTAACCGTTTGTTTAGTCCTTTCTACACGGTTAGCCTGAGTTGCCCGGGTAGAAATTTGCCACATTCATGAGACCTTAAGATGCACTGTTTCCGTGTACGGTAAATTACCCTTTTTTGTAGCCAAAGATACGGGTAGATTGCCTGGTATCCCGAAGAAACGGCGATAGGCTAACGCGGGTAGAACGGTGATGAATGCTCACATCTGGGAAATCATGGTTGCCTTTGTCTCTCAAAGAATCGTTACTTGACGGTGTCTTCGAATACTAGCAGAATAAAACCAATCATAAGAAGGGACTTTTTCTCACATATCAAAAGCTTGCTTTACAGGGATGTTGCAAACTATTTTACTTACACTTATGATGTTTCTTCTCTTGGCTGTTTGTAGCCTTGGCAACTTTGTTCGAAGAGTACGTTCGCACGGTGAACTCCCCTGGAGCAGTACCTGTTGTCCAAAGTGCGTGGGATACGTTTACGAAGACCAAGTGTATCGAGACTCTCGAAAATGCTAAAGCCGTTTACGAGTGAGTGAATTATACCTCAAACGTTTACGTATAGTCACTGCTTCTTTAGGCGGTATAATAATTGGACAGACTCGCCTTGTTCAGTCGTTCGTCTTTGTCGCGAGTATCGCCTGCTTCACACCCCATAGTTGTTTTATGCGCCTGATATGCTGGCTTACAACACGAATCGTCTTCACAATTCAATCATACAGCTGCAATATCAAAGTGAAAATATTTAGGACACTAAATTGATTAAAGCCACCCTCCTTTTTGTGCCCTAGTAACTGCAGAGGCATCAGTGATGCACTATATATATCGTAGAAAAGCGTTGCCACTTGATATTCAGGCAGTCCGTTGTACAATGTGAGAGGAAGGTAGTAAAGCCTCATGTAATGACACTGATGGTGTGATATTGAGTTAGTATCTGCAAGAATACAGTCGAACATCTACTCATGGGGCCAACGCTCCACAACGGCCACCTTTTTTTGTCCCGGTGGACAGTCCATACTTTGACTCTTGTTTAAACCTCTCTACAACGGCCACTTTCGTCTGTTCCCAAGGTGGCCGTTGTGGAGATGAATGACGCGTGACGCAGTAGAAAGCTCCCAGCAAATGACAAGCAAACTCTTCCGTTGTTTTCTTGGTTTCAACTTTCAGTAGCGGAATGTCGGAATTCATACAACGAACGGGCCTTCCTTGTGACGACAGAAAAATTCGCCAACATCACGAGGATCATTTGCTTGAAGCATTGTCCTTCTTCGAAAGTTACACGGAGGACATCGATGTTACTGCAAGATGGATTTACATAGAAGAATTGGCGGTATGCTTACACTTCTTGAGTCTTTCATGTAGATGAACAAACCTGTTTATTACATACTTATTGCTAACCCAGTTAATCATAACTGTTACAAAATTCTCTAACTTTATTGGCTATCAGTAGCTAAGCTTTAGCCCTGATTTCGACATCAATAGGGCAATGTATGCGTCCCGGGGTGCGCGTCATGTCTAAGCAAATGGACAGCACTCTTGTTTGTCCAAGTCGGTCTGTAATCATACTTGTGATGCCCTCCAGTCAGATCTATAATCTTACTCGTGATACTCGTTTTTTTCCCCTAAGATTCGGAGGGGACAGAAGATAAATTATTGTTGCAGAAAATATCTAGAAATCTTAACTTTTCATCGATAAGATTCCTCACTCAATCCTATTACCATTATTAACAGAAATAGCGTTAGTGGAAATGGTACTTCTGTAGCGCTAGTGACAAGTGGTAAAATTACACCGGAGACAACGCGACTGTTCTTAGAAGAATGCTCACATGTAAGGTGACCACTAAACTACTCGGAGCTTCTCTGTCAAGCAAACCGCTTGGTGAAGATTTCTGGTGGAGAAACATATACACGGCTGATTTAATTCTCTGTTTTTTTGTCTAGAACCACGCAGACCAAGCAGAGAGTGCATTTTTACGACAGAACAACTCTAAAACGGAGGAGGAGTGCGACAATTTGATGAAAACTCTACGTTCTCTGTGGCTAGAGCCTGTATTGAAGGATCTCCAAGATCGTGATAACAATGACTTCATGATGTTAGAGTCGCGTCTGAGATCAGCGTATATCAAACTTGACAGTGACTTCAGGAAAGAGACGCCGGGACCAAAATCTCTGTGCTCCAACTTGGCTTACTTGTATGACCTGGTAGGTTTAGTACTGACTAGAAATACGTTATCGCAAAAACCGCGCGAAGCTGTAAAGGCTCAGCAGCGAGAGTAAGGGGAACCAAGCCAAAGGGAACTGAAAATATGATAAAAAAGAAAAGTAAACGGATAAAAAATGTACAAAGAAAACGAAAATAGTTACGTCGAGATTCGCCATGACTACCTCCAGTCCTGCGCGAGAAGTCAGCTTCCAGACCTCTGGGGCACGCTGCCACTGGACAATTCACATTGTAATATTAATACAATTATTAATTGAAGCATACTTGTGATGCTCTACTTATCATGAATTCATCAAAGATAGATTTGAGGAACATTAGCTTAAACGAGTACAGTTTCAAAGCAACTTCGCATTATTTCCGTGTTTATTCACTCTCGGGCTTAACGGCCGATCGATCAGTACGCGCTCGTCTTCTTCTTCGTTGCTCGCGCTGGATTTCAAGTTGCCGTTCTCGCTGCATTGGAGTTTCGATGGTAAATCTACCCTGGCGAGGATTTCCAGCCTGATAAATTGGTCGCGATTCGCCAATCGAAACGTTGTTTGACAGACGATGAATAAAGACGTCAGCCCGTTTTGTTCACGAATAAAACATGATAGTGCTCACAGCATTTGCTATCATTCGCACTTAAAGTCGTGTTGTTTGGCAACCTTAAAATGCACCTTGACGTCGGATGTCAACTGCGGACACCCAAGAGATATATAGAAATATTGCCAACTCGAGTTTCTGCCTTGCTGTTTTAAATTCGCTAGGTGAAGGCGCCAGAAATGATCCATTGTTGTCACTGCCCGGGTCATATGGCTGTGCGCATACGTAAGGTACTGGCCATATTGCAAAATTTGTAGTGTGTGCTCCCTTGCTGAATTTGCTCTTGTTTACTAATTTTGGACACACCGATTTGTTCCTATCTTCTTCCTGATCCTATCTTCATACGCTTGCTGAGAACTGTGTCGTGGTTCCCACTCAAGAGTTACCGATTTCTGCGGACACTGAATGTTATAATTGTTAACGAAAGTGTAGGGCCATCCCAGCAACCTTGCCCCACCAGGATTTAAACGAAAGGATCATGTCCTTAACTATTACCTTTAAAATAGGCGGAGAAGAAGTAAACAGTGAAAACAAAAGAGTGCAAAGTCCATTTGACTTGCATTGGTGAATTCAAGCGTTACACCTTCAAAACAACTGGCTTTCACCACCCCAGAACTGGCAGGCCGCCATGGATTACTGTTTCATCCTTGTTAGGATGCTAGAATCAAAACAATAAAATTATGAATAGACACTGATATAGACCACAGACTATAAACAATGACTTTTTTAAAATTGCGTCACGACTGCCATTTTTCCAATGTACGTCTGAATTAAAATCCCTTCTCAGACGTCTTCCTTTTCTACCCTCAGCAACACAGCGAGGAGATGAAGGAACATCTTAATCAACTAAATCAGAGAAGGGAATATTATGAAGAGATTGCTACAGAGAGGGCAATAAAAGAAGCGGAGGCCGAGGAAGCGGAGAGGATCAGAGTAAGTGTCATTATCGGTGTTCGGTATTTCTTTTTTCAGAGAATGTACAAAGAAGGCGATACACGCAAGAGCGCGAAAAGTGACCTCTGGTGCGGGAGAAACGAAGAAATTTTGTGCGCTCACAATGCGCGCGTACAATTTGCGCGCCAAGGATCAGTGAACCGGAACTGGAAAAAGTTGTTTAACAATGAAAGTGGCTCAGTGATTTCAATTACAGGCGAGTTAGCGCCATCTAATTCCTTCGACAACATCAATCAACCGAATATTACTTTTATGAGATTTCTCCGCATTTTATTCATGAGATAAAGACAAAAGGCTATGACGTCATTGACGTAAACGAATTTAATAATGATGATGATAATAATAATAATAATAATAATAATAATAATAATAATAATGAATTTCCTAGGTTAATTCGGTGCGCCCTACACAATTTTTTCTCTGCAAACTTTGCCTTGTGCTGAAGCTCAGAGTTCAACACTCTTGACGTATTCTTCTTAGAATTTTCTCTTAGTAAATATAGAGAAAGAAACTTTCCGCTTCCCGTTTTATGCTTTCTTTAGAAGTTTGACTTGGTGATTTACATGTAGCATTGCGAATTTACAAAATAAGACAAACAAATGCAATTTCAGAAGAGACAAAAGATTAATTCAACTTTATGCCTACTGGTGTTTGAGTTGTCCTAAACGCCAATTTGTTGCTCTAGGCTGTAAAATCAATTTCTTGTTGTAAATAAGAATAAAAATCACATAATTTACTTCAGAGCACTTAACTAACAAGTATCCTGAATACGTGTTCAAATTTCTTGTTAGAATGACAACGCTCGCTTACAAGCTAGCAAAGAAGATATGGACCGCATGGTAAGTACTAGCAATCTTCCTCTGGCCCCTTCATAATGCTTCCGTCTGTTGTTGCTCATCATGCCGGACAGATAGGGTTTGCGCGTTAAATAATTCATATAAATAAAATGAATATGAACACTACATGACCCTGAAATATTGGCGGGATCCTATTGGTATCTACCCTCTTGACCACCTTACTCTTAGGAATTCTTGGTCGGGGTATGTCGCCCGGTTCCTCAATCCTGACCCTGACTCAGACCATAAAATGTCATTGTCCAAACCCATTTTCAGACTTACCCTCTACAATTCATACCCGTTTTCAGATCTGGGTTCTGAAAGTGATACTTGGTTTGGTAGCCCATTACCTTGTCATAGAAAAGTCAAAATACGAACCCCTCGTTAACTGTAAATGCCACAACCCCGGCCTTTGAACGATTGAGGCACGTATCTGGTTCTCAAGGAGGTATAGTTAGTAAAATGTCATTTTTTTAGATGGCTGATTTGGAAGAAAAACATGTGGAAGAAGAGAGAAGGCTGAAAGAACTTATGGAAGAGAAAATGCGATTACAAAGAGAGGAAGCAGAGGCAGCGATTGCTGCCGCGAGAGAGCGGTCTGCAGCTGAGAAACGACGACACCTGCGACAGCAAAGAGATCTTCAAGCTCAGATAGATCAGGCTAAAGAAAGACAAGCGGAACAACAACGAGCCATAAATGATCTACGACAAAAGTTGAGAAGAATGTAACTACGTTCTTTCCTCCTCGTTTTTTGTAAGATGGCCTCCTCTAAAGAACGTCGTAGCTGCGACCTGTCAAAACCTTTACAACACTATGAACGGGTCTTTTAAAAGTCGAGACTAGAGGCATCGAGCTATAAACACGAAATAACAAAAACACTTGAAGTGCTCTTCAAGAGCTCCATGATTATTGTCGTGTGGGGCAGTGCCCACGGAATTTCTTATATTTGAACCAGATAAAGGGCGATCCTTTTCTTAAAACGCCGCTTCTGGCAAATATTTCCTAAATTTCTCAAAGAGGTCGCCGTAAAAAGTAACAACATGTAGTTACCATTCTAAAAATGGCTTTCCTTTGAAAAGAGCGAATGCATATAGCTCACCCCGATCTTAAAATCGCGCTTATTTAAAAATGACATTGTTTTGACAAGTGTTATTCAGTGTCAAGTGCTACTCCGCAAACACACTTGATGAAAAGATTCTGCAGGCCAAAAAAGGTAGTTCGGGGATAACCCAGGGGATTACCCGGATGGAAGTAGATCGTTCCTCTTCAAATCGGCGAAAAAGTTTGCAGATTAGAGAGACGTTGGTTAATTCTGTTATAAGAACGTTGAAAGCTAAAAACACAGAAGATTTAACGAATATAAATGTCCCTTTTAAATGTTTAAAAAATATACTACCTCTACAAACTCCAGTCTGACATACCACTCATGCTTTGTGCAAAGCGATGCCAAAAAGTTAGCATTTTACAAAGTATGTAGGTCTCTCTTTTCATGCACTTATCCCCATCAAGAAATTGTGTAGGTGCACTCCCATATTTCCTTAAGTTGCAAGCTTCTTCAGACCACGATGTGGTTTTCTATGTGAATGCGTGGCAAAGTCGCTGTTACTTTGGCTAAATTAAAGATTACAAAGTATAATAAAACACATCATCGAGAGGTATGACCTGAAAGCCTTATTTATCTCCCCGGCGGTAGTTCCGCGTCATCGCAAAAGTCATACGTTAAGGCGAAACTCTCCACGGCACTTTGCTTCCGACCAGCATCTTGCCCCGAATATTCTTGTGTGACAATTGCGTTTGCAACATTTGCTTTTGCCCCTCAATTGTGAAGCCCAGGATTTTGCCTTCAATTTGGCTGGTAAAAACAGTTTTTTCTAAGACTGACTTAGTGCACGCCTACCACCTGTTCTCTCTTACTGAGGACATCACAAAGACGGACATTGTCACTCCGTTTGGTCTTTACGAGTTTAGCCGCACGCCTTTTGGTTTACGAAATGCCCCTCAAACCTTTCAGCGGCTTATTGATGACGTATGTTGTGACCTTGACTTTGCTTTTGTGCAAACATGGAAAAGCCGAAGTGGCCTTTTTAAGCCATACTATTAGTGCCAGTGGTATCTGTCCTCTTACATGTTTTGAGGCAGTTCGTACCTTTCCGGTCCTCAGGACAAGAAAGCATTGCACCAGTTGTTTGGCCTCATGATCTACTAGCAACGCTTCGTACCCAGTTGTGTTTACATTGATGGCCTCTACACCAGGCCCTGACTGCCGACAGTTTTACAAGAACCACCAGCATTCGACGAAGCTAAAAGTTCATTGTTAGAGGCCGTGACGTCAGTGTACCCTCACGCCAACACAGGTACATGCATAACCACGAAAGCATCCAACTTTGCTATAGGCCCCGTACTTGAGTTGTTCATTGAGGGACAAGGGAAACTTATCTCCCATGGAACTTCCATAACAACACAGATCACAAGCCCCTCAAAGAAGGCCTATCCTGCACATCGGCGGGGTTGGTTTATGAAACGACACCCTGTCCGCCAGGAGACTTCTCCTCCACCCCTATCATCGAGGACGCTTTCTCGTTTATCACAAGACTGTGTTGTTCAATGCAACACCAGCATGGCAGCCATGATGCCTGCCTCTCCCTGAACTCCATACTGCTACCCACGTTTAGGTGCAGCGGCACGATAGTCACAGAACTCCGTTGACGCGTCCATGATCCATGATGGTACCTCCCGGGTGATCCTCCCCTTGGACAAACATTTTACCGTGGACGTCAGTGGTAAACCCTCGAAGTCACAGTTAACAATTAAGGGACCGATCATTATTTATCGCCTGAGGGGGCGGAGGATTATAAGCGGGATCACACGATTTTTAGGAGAAAAAAAAGGGGGGATCAGTCGTAACTGAGAACCCCAAAGGGGGTATCACTGAAAACTTTGGAAGGATTCAGAGGGGGGACCACTCAAATTTGCTTGGAAATTAAGTCATGGGGGATCACGAAAGTCATCAAAAGTTATAAGGGAGGATCACTTCAGTGAAGTAAGATTCAAAGAGGGGAAAAGCCAAATTTACCTTGTTTAGCCCCAAATCCCCTGCCCTCTCCCCCCCCCCCCCCCCCACCACGCGATAAATAATGACCGGTCCCTAAAAGCCCGCGAACCGGCTCGAGATCCTGATGTCCTTATCAGTGTCTCCTCTAGGTCTCCCAGACTTCCGCCTGCAAGTACCACCTTCCTTTCTCAAACAGTCCGGTCTTAAGAGGGCCCTGGTAGGAAGAATTTTTTTGCGTAAGATTCAACTGCAGTTCCGCCCTCCGCAACCCAAGAAAACCATACCAATCGGCGACCAGCACCCCTCTTTTACTATCTCACAGAGCAGCAGGGGGTAGTTTAGTGCCCCGAACATTCTTGCGAACACGTGGGGTTTGCGAAAAGTTGAATTACTGCGTGTGGTGTTACGTTGTAAAATTAAAAAGTACTTGTAACTCGTTTTAGCGTCTCTTTCTTCTTCACCCTGAAATATCGATCAAAATCAATCTTACGACCTAACTCTCCACGGTACTACGAGCTGAAACCTTCGGCCAGCACCCTTAATGGAACGCGTACAGGAATATATATATATATCGCTCAAGTAAAATTATCTTAACGGTAACAACGGCGTAATATTATTGATAACAACAGCAAAACACTAAAACTTCCAAAGGAAGGGAAGGGTGGGAATTACTAAAACGACGAACTAGTCCTTAGAATGTAGTAATACACCTCAAAAGTGAATCTTCCAAATTTTGCACATCCTTTATGGATAGACTGGTGACCGAATATAAGCCAATATAAAATGCCATACTAATGAGAACAGAGCACATAATACCACAAAGTTGCGTTATATATTACTGACTAAACGGCGTGACGCTCCATTAACTGCGTTAAACAATTCTGCTGTAAAACGTTGCTAATAAGGCTATTGTTGGCACTGTTTGACACTTAACGACAAAAAAAGCCTTGAATCCAATAAAACTACAAAATATTGACTTTATTATCTTTTGCGCTCGGTTACACTGACTACACTGTATACCTTCGGTTCAATTCCCTATATACTTTATCTTATAAAAGAGGTACTTTTTAAAACATACACCCTGGCGTCAGTGAAGACCCATTATTTTAAGCCTTTCACTCCTGGTAGTGACTTAACACAAAAATTCTTTCAGTAAAATCCCAGGAAACAATTAGTACTATGCAAGTTTTCATTTGAAAGATAACAACAAAGTATTCAGGACTTCGTTCACGGATTTAAAAGTTGGAGTGACAAATAATGTTGCCAAAATGTGACCTAAAGGTGAAAGACTTAAATGGCATCTGTCACGACCTTTAAAGCCCTTAGCAAAGTACAACATTATCTTGAAGGTCCTTAGAATGCTAGTTCAGTAAAAGAGAAATACTAATTCAAGGGTAATAGCATAACATGGAGACATCAAGATGGTTTGGGATGAAGGAAACAAACAGGGACTACAACTACTGCGTAAAAACGATGCAGAAAGGACAAGGGCACCCGGGAAAGAAAATTACTAATTTAAAGTCGCTAATCAAAACGCAACAACGTGTTCAGTTCCTGACCGTTCCCTGATCTTTGAAAGACCACCCGTTACTATCGAAATCGTCCTCCAAAGGTTGTCAAAATACAGCATTGTGAGCCTTTAGTTTGGAATGGCCTCCCGGGGTGACGTCATTCCGTACAATATGAGATTGGCGGGAAGCCGCTATGAAAACCAAACTAGTGGCTCGACTGACTTCTGATTTTTTTTTTCTGTTCCTGCGAAGCTGGTTAGCCGTTGTTTTGTAACTGACACGCTCTTTCGTAGCAGCCTTCCGCCAATTTCATGTTGGACGGATTGACGTCACGTCCGGAGGCCAACGCCACCGCTATCTCCGAGGTGATCTCAAACTTTTTTTTAATGAGTGTAACACAGGTCAAAATTTGGTAGACATAAAGTTCGCTATTTAGACAAGTTATTTTTACTATCTTAACATGTAAACCTGCAGAAAACAAACATGACATAAACATGAATTTACATCAATTTATATGAAAACCAGTGCGTGAAAAGCTTAGCGCCTCAACTATGTTAGAGTACGAGGGTCACCCCTCCAAACGACAGGTATTTAGAGAAATTTTTATAACGATATATTTATAAAAGATCACAAAATACAAAAAATACGCGTTGTTAATCTAATGCTGTGTCTCGTTATTGCTGAAAATTAGATATATTACCTACAACGCCCCTTTACCCGCGTCTTGCTTAGACGGCACTTGTGATTTCTCTAGAGTCGCTTGTCAAACCTACACTTTTGGTACAAGAGACTTGTGCCTCACGTTTATCACAGTCAGATATAAAAAATACGGTAAAAAAAGGTCGTCTATAATATCAGGCACCCCGTCAAACATGTGGGTGTAAAATAACACATCTCTAAAGCCCACCAAATTCTGATAAAATCAGTGTACATCGCCACTGCTCATAAATGGAGGCGGTCGTTCGTATCTTGATCTGCCTGAAAGATACAAGAAAAAAAATTCTCGTTTAATGTGTAGACGAACATATCTGCTTTTGCGTTTAAGCGATTTTATAACTTATTCGGTCGACCCAGATTCTTCATTTTTACCGATCCAGAGATGAAATTTTCCATTGAACTGAAAACTACGAGAACGGTCACACCGTACACTCTTTTAATAGCGTTTGGCAGTAAGTTGATTTGATTTTTACTGGTATCGAAAAAGGAAAATAGAAACTTTTACAAATGATGGAAATTGAATGGATCAGTTTGCTCACGATGTCCTGACTGAGTGTTAGTAATTTGTGTACTGATGTGAATGGCAAAAAGTGTTCAAATGAGTGACTGCCAAAGTGAGTAGGTTGCACGCTGATACAAGATAATGAAAAGAAATAAAGCGCACTGGTTTAGTAGTTACATGTAGCTCGTATGGGGGTGATTATGTTAGATACTCAGAGACAGAAGTGGAAAACAGGTGGCGCATGAGAATGTCTATTATAACTAGTGTGTTGACTATTAGCCTTGTTGTTCCACGTGACATATTTCATGGACTTGCGCATGAACGCGAGATTATGTTTGAAATGGATGCTGTGGAATGTGAATCTAACTCTTGTTATTCTATGTTTGAAACTCGCGAAAATTTAGTAAAAAGTAAAAATTTACTTCATTAATAAAATAATTACTCATCAATGGGGCACTGTTCCTCTTTTCATGGATATCGAGTTAATCATGTCAGACTTTTAATTATCCTATTAAGTGCCAATAGTGGTGAACATTAATTTTCTCCCAACAACATCATTACACAGTCAAGCGAAATGGTTATGAAAATAAATAAACACCAAAGGAAAAAATGCTTTGATTTTTTTATTACATTCTCTTAACAATTCTAAGGAAATGTATGGGGTTCAGTCTGGAGAATTTGTATGTGGATATTAGGGATCAAAGGGTTATAACATGAGATTTCCCCCCAGCTGCGTTCACCTTGCCTTCTAGACAGACTGAAAACAATAGCTATTTGGGCCTTTCAAACATTTTGGTGGCATTCTCCAGTGCTATCCAGCCTGTTTTCCACTCTGCTGAGTCAGCCGCTTAACAAATCAAAGAATCCTACTCACAACTGAGTAACCAAGCCATCAGTCACCTTGAGCAGATCCTGGATAATACTGATTGTTTCTGTCTGGTGATGATATGTTTACAGCAGGTTGTGGTGGCAGGCGGTATGGAGGGGGAGCTCCTAATGGGGCATCTGGTTCGTCATCATGTTGGCTTGGTGGAGGAAATCTGTTAATAACCAAGCATCAACCAATAATAATGCTTTTGAAAGAAGGCTGAGTATGATGTAAAGAATATTTTATTATGCAGATAAAAGAGATATATGTAACACACCCTCTCATTTTTCATTTTCCTGATACCTTATGCTTGTCCCCTGTTCATCACTCCCCATTCCCCATTCCCCATTCCCCATTCCCGGTTCCCTGTTCCTCGTTTCCTGTTCCCCATTCCCTGTTCCCCAAACCCCGTTCCCTGTTCCCTGTTCCCTGTTCCCCATTCCTTGCTCCCCATTCCCTGTTCCCCATTCCCTGTTTTCCATTTCCTATTCCCATTTAAGTAACATCTCCAACAGGGCAACAAGTTGAAAAGTGCTTGATCTTCATGACCTTCAAAACATAGGGGACAGCAAACAGTCTAGGTGAGTAGCAGATATTAGCAAATAAACTACATGTAAATAAAAAATCCTTACTGCTTATAAGGAGTTGAGGACTCTCTTGGCTGGCCAGGGTCATGACCAGCTGAACCATTGTGAGAATCATCACCATTCTGATGGGACAGCTGACGCAATCGGAATGTTGCCCGTAATATTGAATCATGATGAGACAACTGGGAACTAGTAAAAACGTTAAAACAAAAATCAATGGTCAACTAATATATCAAATCTGCTCATATTAAGTTGAACACTCAAATGTTGTTTATTCAGGCATCATTGCTGAGTGGTTGGTGTTCAAGATCTCATGTAGTCTCTGAGACTTAAATCCTCACTTTCCCTGACCTCGAGAAGGAGAAATGTTGTTTTTTGGGGTGCTGATTTCAACCCCTGGGTCACATTTGTATTAGCCAACTGGTTTGCATTCTGACAGGTGAGTCTTTAAACAAGTTACACGTGTATGTTCAATTTGAAAAATTTGTTTCTTTATCCACTTTATCCCGGATAAATATATTACTATTGAGACAGTTTTTTTTACCACAATATAACCATTTAATTTACTGAACACAAAATATGAGATGAATTTGAGATAAATGCTTTAGATAGAAAGAAACCATATGAAGCAATAAATTGTAAACTGATTTTTGTTTAATTTGTTCTTAACTTGACCGTCTGGAAACCTTAGTTCTACATGTAAATGTTAAAAAAAGAGAAGAATAATGAGGGACAAACCGTGAAGTCTCAGCATCCCTCTTTGGCCTGAAAAAAATTAAAAAAAAAAAAATACGTAGTGAACATCAAGAAAAAATAAAAATCTAAAGAATAGAATGTGAAATAAAAAGGCTACAATGTGTAATTTAATCAACAATTACCAATGAGGAACAACCCTTATGGATTACACCAATTTTAAAATATCTCCTGAAGGGTTCCAAAGCTACAATGAACTGTTCTTTCTTGTACCTTGGCACAAACTCAACTGTTTTCAAAGGACATTCCCATATATAAAGCAAACCAAGTACAATTTATAAACACCTGTTAATGTAACCCTAAGTACAAATTGTAGTACAAAACTAGAAATTCAATTTAAGCATACATGGAAAACTATTGTCAGTAAATCGCTTGAAACAGAACCTGTTTCAAAAGCAACCACCTAAAATACTATTAACCCTTTAAGCACCAACGGTGACCAAGATCAATTTTCTCCTAACAATATCCATACCTTGTCAAGATATAACGTTATGAGAATTAATGAGATGATCGCTTAAGAGAAAATGCTTTGATCTTTTATCAAATTCTCTCAACTACCTCTTTAAGGAAATGTATAGAGATCAGTTTGGAGAATTGCTATGTGAATTTTTGGGCTTAAAGGGTTAAGAGGCCACTTGTCCCATCCCCAAGGGTGGCTGTGCTGTTGAAGCTCTTGTAAGCAACCACCTTGGAAATTTGAAAAAGTGGTCGTAACTAGAGCTGGTTGCCTACGAGAATGAGCTCTTGTAAGCTTCCCCATGGTAAAACAGTATAGGGTGATTGCTTGCAAGAGCTTTTGAAACTCTTTAATAATAAATTCATGACGAAAAAATAAAAGAAATTAATGTTTAATGAGTGTCTTTAGAGTGGACTTTATGTCCAATTTTTAGACCATTGGTAAAAATTGCAGTTTCATCATAGTGTTAATCTATGTGACAAAGACTTCAAGTGGCCACTTACGAGAGCTTGAACACAAAGGAAAAGTCGAGTTGAGTAATCCCAAAAGTGGTTGCAATCGCTTACCGAAGCAGTTGATTATGAGAGCTTTCTATTACAAGGCTAAAATCACAGTTCAAACTGGGGTTTACAAAGGTGGTCATAACTAGAGCTGGTCCCTTACAAGAGTGGTCACTTGGAGAGCTTAAACTGTAGATATTTGGTTGTAGAAGAGAAGGGGTGACCAGGGGTGAATCTTAAAATTTTGGGGCTGGTTACAGGGAGGGAGGAAGACCCTAGAAAGCAAAACAACTTTTTGTTGGGTTTACATGCAGAAATTTTAGCCTGTATCGTGTGATTAACAAGCAGAGAAGGAAATTACATGTAAGATGATGGGTGACAATAACAAACATGCAATTTGGGCCCCTCTGCTTTCTTCGCTACTGTTAATAACTACATTTTTCAGTAAGAAATGGCAGTTCTTTACAACTGGTGGGGCCAAACGAAATTGACAGCATTTATGCCATGGTTAGCCACTGAACAACCTGCCACCTTTTTTTTTGTCTTGTTAATCTCTAGTACAAGGATCTTCCTGGTGAAAGCAGTTTACATGGTACTAGGCTCTTCCTACATGTACTTCTCATCTGGGAAGATCCTGGTGCTTGGAAGATCCAGCGCTAGGCACAACCCAGGGTTGTCAAAACTAACCCGCCGCTGGCAAAAATTGCTGCCTACTTGGTTAGTTTCAGCCGGCTACTCTGCTTAGCATTTCTTTACGGATGGTGTTTTTTAAATAAAATATCACTGGACTGGAAAAGAAACATCTCCTGAAAACTATAGCAAGTATTTATGTGTCACTTGCAGTTAAATTTAATGCCACACTTGGTAATTAACCTTATAATTCACTTTAGATTTTCAGTAATTTTGGAGAGAAAATTGCCTGGAGAGTACAGAAAACAGCATTTCAGAGCGTCTAAATATAAAAATTCTCTGGGGAAGTATGCCCTCAGACCCCTCTAGAGGCTTGCACCTTTGGTGCTTGCCAGTTCCTTCAGAACTGGCTGCTTACTTTGACAACTAAGCTGTCTACTTCAAAACTTTCTGACAACCCTGACGACCCTTTGTATACAAACTGAATACAGAAAACATGCGGTGCTTGGATCATCCGCCCTCCAGGATCTTCCTGGTGCAGGGATATTCCCCCCTCCATGTAAAGAGCCCCTTAATTAAAAAATACAAGCACAGCTCCCTGACAAAATAAGACCAAGGCACTGACCTTCCTTCGCGGAAGCAGAAGAAGATGATGCCAAGGATGATGGCAATGACGAAGACCACAAGAAGCGGCAGAATCAATAGTAGGAGAAAGTCACTGCCAAAATCTCTGGCAGAGGAGTCATACACTGGTGCTACATATGTAGATTCTACAAAACCTTCTCCACTGGGTGCTGATTTGGTGACATTACCAGCAACCACAGCCAATTTGCTCATATCCATCTGTTAAGTAAATAGAATGTAAATAAATTGGAGGAGCAAAGAAACTAATGGTTCAATTATCCCTTATTATCACTACAGTATTTTAATAATGCCATATAATATTATTTTTTGTTAGCATTTTACAATGTACATTCTCTGAATATTGACATTATGCATATATAGCAATGTACATAAAAGGGCAATCAAGTTGAATAACATTATTTAGTACATACAGCTGTATATATATCAATTAGAATGCTCATAAAATGCATATCTGAATTGAAAGGAATCATTTTTAGTAATTACATCTGACTTCTTACATAGAGCATGATAGCATGCAATGGGCTAAACTGTGTGCTTTCAAAACCACGAAACGTTTTTGTTGTTGACTTGTACTTCTTCAAATGTATTGTTTTGTTTTGTCCAACAATGCCTGACAAAGTAAACTTGTGATGGTAAACAACAAAGAAAAAACATTTCTAGGCCTGAAAAGCTTGAGTTGATACATAATGCTTGTGTGTTGTTACGTGTATGTTACAAGTTACAAAATTCATGAATAATTAGGGCTAGGAGATAAAGGAAATTGAGAATTAATCTGGGTTAAAAAATTTTAACCTGATATTAATTAATTTTGACCTATAACGTGTATATGTTGTAGGTCAATGATACAGTTGTACATGTCAGAATCGACCCTCAAATAGCATGTGTGTGTGAAACTAACCAGATGGCAGAGTTTCATATTGTACTCACTTTAATTTAGCAACAATTTCAATTTAATGACACTTAATTTTGGTGCATTTTATTGGCAAATTAAAGTGTCGCCAAAATTTCATCTAATGGGTAAATGCATCTGCACTGCATCCGTGTTTTTCACTTATCTCTGACCTAAACTGTATAATGATATTGTTTACAAGCCTGACTTAATTGTTGAGTGCATTCACTGCAACAATGCTGATTCACACAAGGATGTTGAGAGCAGAGAAAGATCATTGACTTACCAGTCTAAACTTGCACCAGTCAATATCATATGGCAAGAACTGTTGGTTTGCTTGAGAACTTAATCCAGCACAACCTTGGTAATCATTTTTCAACACTTCATAGGATGAATCACCACCAACAGTTATGTACACACTGCCAACAAGACAGAATATCACTCAAATAACGATGGGCTTAAGTTACTTTTTCATTCTACATGGTGTGCATCATAATGATAATTTAATAGCCTGCATTCTGCATGGGAAGAAATCTAGTCATTAATAGATAGAAAAAACACAACAGTCTATTTGGAGAGTTTATTTTTTTTTAAATAGACACTGCCCGCCTAGACTAGCCTTTGCTATTTGTGGGCAGTAAAAAAAAGGTAAATTTGAATTAACCAATAAAATGAAAAGAAATGAAATGAAATAGTTATCAAGTTCAATCTATTTGAGTTCAAATTACAAAAACAATTAAGCTTTAAAATACAAGACAAAGGGAAACAAAATTTCAACTGGCTTGTAAATTTTCAAAACAAATAAAACAGTATAATATTATTTTAATTGCACACAAATTTAAAATGTTTTCAGTGAAACCTGTATTGCAGGCAAGAGGGTATGTAGTAATCCTCACCCTTTTCTTCTCAAACAAGTTTCCTGAACCACCCTTTATAAAAACAGGCGGACAAATTAGAAAATATAATACATGAACAAACAAGAGAAGACTTCACTTACCCTTCCTTCTGTGGGGGGATTGGTACTCTTCCAGCCCTGTTCAGTTTTGATTCCACTGATGTTACCCTTATTCCACCTTTGGGCTGCCAGACTTTTTTCACTCTTTCAACAAAGTCTGCAGTCCCTTTCCCCTCTAAAAACTCATCAATGCTGCTGTTTTTTATCAAGAACTCTGCTTGGTATCGTGGAATTCCTAAATGGCACATTGAGAAGTGATTGTTATTTCATACACTATGGGATATGTACTGTAGTCCAAGGCCCAAATGACTGATTATAGAAGAATTAAGACTAACCAAGACAAAAAGCAGAGGTCAAGGAAGCATGCAGAAGGGCCAGCTGTTACAGTTGTACATAAAACATGCAAACAGACAAGTGAAGTAAACTAAGATTTCAAGCTGACAGGTAAATACAACAGGTAGGTGGGGAATAAAACAGCTACTCCTGAAGTAGGAATTTCTTTCAGTGCTACGTTTCTTCTATTTTCCTTTGAAAGTAGCCGGGGGAAATCCCCTGCCCCTCCTCTTAATGACACCCCTGAGTAAGAAGCCACTTCCATTAGGAAATCCAAAGACATGATCAAATGTTTTAAGGATGCAATTTTATAGCCTTAAAACAAATAACAATTAAGTCTGACAAAGACTGAGGATCAGATAATTTCAATCTTAAATATGTCTCCAACTACAACAATGTTGTAATGAAAGCACTAGACCACATGTAATGCTAAATGACACACACCTTTGGATTTATCTATGCTTATCAAAATCTCTTTTCTTGATGTGTTGTAATCCTTTTTGTTCCATGCAGTGACCTAAAACCAAATAACCATTGTTACAATTACATCACCTACCCTAAAAGAGTGACAAAAACCCAGAAATTACACCAACCAAATTGTGGAATGACAAAATGTTGTGTTTTGGTTGTAGCATTGGAGACTCATTTGCTTATACGCCCTTTGCAGAACTTGGTCAAATACTTGGATACCACTAGGCAACTGCTCACCGGATGCAAGCCATCCAAGCATCCAATCTGATTATAAAGCTATGGGAGTGATTGGGCGAAGCATTCCCAGATTAGGTAATTCAAACATATCTAAAGTCTTCTTTAATCTAGTCCAGTCATTTTGCTTAATTTTCTGCACATAATTAAACTAGGAATTCTTTGCTTGATGGCGTGCAAAGCTTTGTGATTAAAATGAGAGCTTGGAAGGCTTACTATCCAGTGAGCAAGTTCTGTTATACTATTATTCTTGCTGCTTTCAACATGTTTTAACTCTTAAGGGTCATTTTTGTGCTTTTTACCAAGGGTCTATGAAGCAGTTATTTTACATTGTACCTCCAAAACTATTTGACTTGAGACTTCAGGTCCTGGAGTGCCGTAAATGAAGGCTCTATCAGTTGGCTGATCTTGCTCCAGTAGTAACCAGGGAGGAAGATCTGGGAATCCTAATCTAGAAGCTATAAATTTTACCTCTGTCTGGCCAGCTGAATGAGATACAAAAATACAGACATTAGTCTCCCCAATGGAAACATACGTTTATTATGAAAATCACTGCACTAAAAATGTACAGTTCGACATTATAATATCTATTAATGCCTTTAAGCTCCAAGAATGACATGAATTTTCTTAGTACACTTTCAAGAGAAAATTTTGTGAGAATTAATGACATAAACACAAAAGGGAAAATACTTTGATCTTTCACTAGATTTCATAACATAACATAACATAACATAACATAATTTATATAGTGCTAACTCCACTAAATTGACCAAAGCGCTTTACAATTCATAATATTAAAATAATTAAAAAGATCCCACTGGTAATAAAATATGAATAAATTAAAAACCTATTAGCAGACTTATTTATAAAAATATCACAATAAATCCTATTCTAAATTATCGAAAAGTTAAACATTATATGCTTTTTTAAAAAGATCAGTCTTTAAGTGTTTCTTGAATAAATTAATTGTAACTAAACTTCTAAGATCTAATGGCAGCTCATTCCAGAGTTCAGGTGCAGCAATGGAAAATGCCCTGTCTCCGTATGTTTTAAGTCTTGACTTCGGAACTGCCAGAAGTTTTTGATCAGTAGAGCGTAGCGTAAGTGAACATGTACGATAACTAAGTAATTCCGTGATATATAATGGTGCCATACCATTTAGCGCCTTATAAACTAACAATAAAACTTTAAAAAGAATCCGAAAGTGAACAGGTAACCAATGCAGTTGAATCAATACAGGGGTGATATGATCAAATTTCTTGGTTAAAGTAACGATACGAGCAGCCGTGTTTTGCACAGACTGCAAACTACCTATCATATGCTTAGGGAGGCCATACAATAAAGAGTTACAATAGTCTAGTTTAGAAGTAACAAACGCATGAACAAGAATTTCCGTAGTTTCCTCAGTGAGGTACTTCCTAATTTTAGAAATGTTCCTTAAGTGGTAGTACGACGTTTTGCAGATCTTATTTCCCGAATCTTTGTAAAATGTATGGAGATCAGTCTGAAGAATTTGTACGTGCATATTGTGGCTTAAAGAGTTAAAGGTAATACATAAATTTTATGGAGATATATATGGAACTAAGTCATACATTTTTTATTTAAAGTAAAGCTCACTTTAAAATTATTAGGTACATCATAAAAAAATCTTTAAAAACCACCTGAGCTAAACTATTCTAAAATAGATGACAAAACTTACAAGCACTTGGAATAAATTCAGAGACAATAAGCTCTTTTTGAAGAAATATTCCAACAGTAGCACCTGTGGTAATATTGGATGTCCTGCTTAACTGAATGCAGGCAAAAAGGAACCCTGCAAAGAAGATATTAATAATGTTGTGCAATATCAGAAAGAACCTCCATGTACTGCACTAGGATTAAGCTTGCATACTATGGACATTAAGTTAGCATATATTGACCAATTATTTTGTTAAGTGAATTAAATTGACATAGGAATAATAATTAATAGATTAATTTTTGGGAAGTAATCATTTCAAAAGACCTTTGAGATGTACTACTTGCTATAGTGCATTCCATAAATCCTGAACTCTACACAGATACACAGATGCAGTTAAAAGAATACTACAAAGTGAAACTTGTAGATACTTAAATACTTGGCTCTTGCCACAACTGGAAACAACAGTGGGCTAAAACTTTTGGTATTTTCAGATTTACAAGAAAGATAAGAAATAAAAAATAAACGATCTTAGAATACCGTTTTTACCGAACGAAGTAAATTTGAAAGCTTTTTTAGTTGATGCCTTAGTTTTATTTGTCTGTGAGGGAAATAAGGGGGGCAGAGTATTCTACAATTTAACACACAAAATTAAGTAGAGACAGACGAGTTCTGAAACAGCCACCAAAGATTTCTTGGATAAACACTGTGTAGCTGTCGACTGATATGCATCTTGGGCCACTTCAACATAACTTTAATACCTACAAACTTACCGAGCGCAAAGGCAAGATTCAGAGTCATCATCTTCTAATCGCAGCAGTTTCTTTAAGAATCTAGAAAGAAGATATAGACGCCCTTTCTGAATAAAATTATACTCAGTAGACCAGAACTTTATTTTATAAAGTGTCCAAATACTTTAGAGACCTACCTTCGCCTGTTTGAGGACCAATAAAGCCACTGCTCGTTCTGAAACACTTTGACGACCTTCCGTGATATCTCAAGTGGCAAATGTAAACAAAATTATCTGAATTATAGGCTTCAGTGGGTGAAAAATATCACACAGAGAGAACTATGTGTTAAATACAGCATTCTCAAGCTGTTTTGGAATTTTCAGACGCCTTAAAGGCACTACCGCTGACCACGTCAATAAATTCCCAGACCTCTTTGCGTGACCTACTGCCAATATCCCGGATGTTCCGTCTCTTTCTTCCCTCTTTTCGTGGTGGCTGTGCAACATTCAGTCTGAAAGTGAATTTGGTCGGGTCGTAAAGAACTCATCCACACAGCCATCAGACCTCAATCACATCTCAATCCATTAAAAATATGCCTCCTAAGTTCGATCCTAACGAGATTAAAATTGGTAGGTTAACCTTTGAGAAATTTAGCGGATAATTTTGTTGAGGAGTTTGCTCATCTTTTTAAAATTTGTCATATTTCTCGTGTTTCTGTTAGTTTACTTGAGAGCCACTGGCGGTGAAGTTGGTGCTACATCAGCCCTCGCTCCCAAGATCGGCCCTCTTGGTTTGGTGAGGAATATTTTGTTGTTGATTTTAAAATATATTGAGTTAAAAGTTAGCGTAAAGAAGAAGTGTGAGAATGGTCAAGGTTTGTGTTTTGTACACGTGCAGAATAAATTATCCATGATCACTTTGGTTTCACCTCAGAAAACATAGCTACCCTTGATGTCATATTTTACATTTTATCCTGTCAAATCTGTTCTCACTGTGGTAAAACATACATCATGGTTCTGGTTGCATCATTGTGGCAAATTATAGCTAAAACACAAACCGTGGCCTTGTTAAGGTTTTTGCTTTCATGCAAAAACTGAATTCTACCAGGCCCCAGTTGTTCAAAAGCTGGATAGCCCTATCCACTGGATAAGTATTAGGGAAACCAATTGCACTATTCACTGGATAGAAATTTATCTGCTGGATAGCGCTATCCATCTTTTCAACAACTGGGGCCAGAACTTTAACTTAATACATAGTTCTTTCCGAATGATAATTTTCAGTCCACTACAACATTGCAACATTGTTTGAAGAGTGTTTTGTTCCGTCATTATTGCCCTTTAAACCCATCAACAATAGATGGGTGTGGGGAAGGTGCCTCATGAAACAGAAGGGGGCCACAAGTGAGCCTAGAAGGTAACCATGACAACCCTGTGAGTGGCACCCACCAGGCACCGTCATACTGAGAACCTCAGTGGAAAAAGGTGCAGATACTTACTAAAAAGAGCATCGAGAGAGGAGGGAGGGTTGGGGGCAAAAAAACAACTATAACTACTGCACGTAAAAGCAACGTAAGCAAAATGATTGACTCCTGCGACAGCACTGTAAAATCACTAAGACCCTGCTAAACGCCAAGACCGCCCCACATACAATTAGTGGTGGAGACCACTGGCCAGCATTGTCTTATGTTTAACCTCACCTAAATTACGTGTGGCCACATTAAAATCTTTGTTGCAAATCTTCCCACGTTATCGTTTAAAGGCAATTTCTGAGAAATGATTACCCTAAGAGAATCATCGTACAACCAAACCAACCTGTCAGTTTGTGCTATCCAATTTATTGCCATTTTTATGCACATTTTAACTGCTTTAGTCCCCCAAGAAAGTTGGTGATGATATCGCCAAGGCAACACAGGACTGGAAGGGATTGCGTATCACTGTTCAGTTGACCATCCAGAACAGACAGGCTAAGGTGTCTGTTGTGCCAAGCGCATCATCATTGATCATCAGAGCTCTCAAGGAACCCCCAAGAGATCGCAAGAAAGTTAAGAATAGTGAGTGATCACTTGAATTTAGTGCTTAGTGGTCTTAATTCTTTGAATGGGTAGTGTGTACTGGTAATCTTCAGAAAATTTAGAAAAAGGTAGTTTTATCATTGAAATCACCAGCTGATTTTGTCTTTTTTTACTAGAAAGAATACTTGGCTAGAACCTAATAGCCTTAAGTAGGCAGCTAGGCTGAGTGCTTAAAAACTCCTTACAGTGTGCGACCACACAAACTGAGGCCAATGAGACAAAATTTTGAGACAAATTTTGAAATTAACCAATCACAAGTTGAGATCTAAACAATGAAATTGCGCATAATTGTATAATTTCAGAGCCAATTCAAAACACGTTGCGAACCATTTTTTAAAGGATATTAAAAAAATAAGGAATCGCAACATTTGCGTAACTATATCAAGCTGAAAAATGTTTTGACAATGTCTGGGTTGGTTGGACTCAAAGCCAGGAGTAAAGAAATTTTGACCAATCCGGACTTAAAGCTACAGCTGCTCATTTCACGGCAAACAGCGCTCAGTGCTGAGTAAATCACAGTGTCAGTGATGACAAAGATAAAGGGGAGGTTAATGCAAATTACAATGCAATACACTCGCCCAGCTTAACCGGCAAAAACAAAACTAAGATTGACTCTAGACTGCTCAAGAATAGCAAAGGAAATTGCCATGGTTAGTGGAATTTTTGCCAAGGGAAGGAGGCAGACATTACTTTATTCTTCCAAGTGACAAAAGCAAGAAAGGTCAGAAAAAATCTTCGAAGCAATTTAGTCGATGATTGCCCCAAACTGAGCAACGAACCCAATGAAACACAGTTAACAAACAAAAATGGATCGAAATCCACCAATCACAAACCATATAACCTTTTGAAGTTGTTCAAGTAAAGATCTGTTTCCTAGGAGGTCTGCTAAGATGATTTACGGAACAGAAAAACCCAAAATTTCTTTGAGTAATGAAAACGATTTTTGGTGAGCGGCTGTCCTTTTTTTGTAGTTCAGATTGTTCAAAATTTCTTTACTGCTGGCTTTGATTCCGGCTAACCCAATCGTTGGCAAAACATTTTCCAGCTTGATTTATACAAATGTCATGATTGCTTGTTTATAATGATATCCTTTCGGAAACTGGTTCATAATGTATTTTGAACTGGCTCTGAGTACAAAATTATGTGCAATGTCATTTTTTAGATCTTGACGTTTGTTATTTTAAGATTTGTCTCATTTTTTGTCTGGGTGGCCTCGGTTTGTGTGGTTGCACTGTAATACAGTAGAACCTAAATACAATGAACCTCTATATCATGAAGTCCTTGGAATAATTAACAATTATTCCTCGAGCCTGAATGGGCTATTGTCTCGGAGGCCATGAGGGCGAGAGGAATAATAATTGTTTTAGTAAAAACCAACTAGTTGGTCAATAATATCGAGACAAAACAACCTTAGCTAGTTAAAGCTAGACTCGTACTTTGTTTGTGTTTGTGGTTATTGGCTGGAGAACCATAAGCTAGCCTAAGCAAATAATTATTACACTTTCACTGCTAAAAAAGTATGAGGTTGAGGTCAGTTAAAACAATGAGTAGGTTCAAACCCTTATTTAAGTACCTCAGTTAACTAGCATTTTATTGTTTTGTTCTTCTTAGTCAAACACAGTGGCAATCTAACACTTGACAATATCAAAGAGATTGCAAGAACCATGAGACCAAGGTCAATGGCTCGTAAATTGGAGGGAACTGTAAAGGAGATCCTTGGTACATGCCAGTCTGTGGGTTGCACCGTAGAAGGACAACCTCCTCACGATATCATTGACAAGATCAATGATGGAGAAATAGAAATTGAGGTATGTTGTGTTATTAGTCAGTGCTGCACTCTAACTAGCCTCCCATGCTGACGTTCTCAGTGGTTTGTCACTTGTTCCTGCCCCACTAATGTCTACTGAACTGAGTGGTAAAAAACGTAAGTTAACCCCGTTGGTAATGTCTGCGAGGCAGCACCAAAATCCCTGTTCTGGGCCCCTAACAGACTCAACAAATTACCAGAAATGCATTTCGAATATCCTTTCAACCTGATTGGCAAATCGTTGAATAATGGCAGTTTTAATAGGCCAATCATGGCGCTTACTCAAATCCTGCTACACAGGTGGGGGGCTCAGAACAAGGGTTTCGGTTCTGTTTCGCAGACGGACTTGAACAGTTTAGTTTCAACTGACGCGCAGGCTAAAACCAACCATAATAATGAGTGAAAATAGGAATCTTTCCAGGAATCTTTCCAGGACCAATATGAAAGGGAAATGATTCACACTGTTACTTGAGAAATTCATGTCATGGGACTTCAAGTGGAACCCTTTAATGTCTCTGTTTTCTTTTCTTTTTTCTTCTAAAATTAACTTTACAGTTAATAAACTTTTTTAGACAACTGACATTTGTTTTCTTTTTTCCTTTCAGGAGGAATAATTCACAGCCTCAAGATAAAAACAAATAAAAAAGTTGAATATTATATTGTTTGCTAGCTGTAGTGATTAGATATCTCAGTTTCAAATAATTTCACCCCGGAGTAACACCAAAGCACAGAGAAAGTCCCCCTGATGGAATTGCATTTCTTTAGTAATTCCCCTCTGATCCGTGCAGTCATACTTGATAGTGATGTCAACTTTTCAATCTATGGACGAAATCCTGTCCTGTGGCTTTCCATTACTCTACTTGCGTAGCATTTTCTCATGGTTCTAATGATTTATTTAGGGGTTTTGATAAGACCCTACATGTAGCCTGCATGTGGCAAAGGACATAGGAAAAATCTGCAGGCAGGCTAACAAGACCCCACCCATGCAGGGGTTCTGCTGGGAATTCTGTTGTGATTCACCTCCTATACTAATACAGGTGACGCATGTGTAATTACGACGTGGAGATTAGGATTGCGGGCTCATAAGACCCGTTTCAAACGTTGTGCTACTGCCGTGCCGAACTCAACTGATCAAATTAAATTAGACTTCAGCATGGCAGTAGCGCGACGTTTGAAACCAAGTCGTGCTACTGCCGTGTAGTGTCGTGCAACTTGGCAGTAGCTCGACTTGGTTTCAAACGTCGTGCTACCGCCTAGCGGAACTCAATTCATAAAATATAAATACATTAGAATACATTTTAAAGTTTGCTAAACCGTGTATTTATTTTTGTGATTCGTTTGCGGCAACAGCCGTTCTATTCCACAGAATTAAATTTGACATCTGAACCCTAGTCGTGCTGCAGTCGAGCTACAGTCGAGCCAGCTTAGCACGGTAGTAGCACAACGTTTGAAACAGGCCTAACCTGCCTCGCCGGGGGGCACATTCATGTAACAACAAATTCCAGGATGCTGTTGTAATTGACCACTACAGAAATTACCATAACAGACCATAATCCTCTTTGTTTTTCACCCCCAAAATTTGCATTAGCATAGTTTTCAGTTTCTCTTGGGAGTAAAAATGGCCCCAAGAGAAACTGAAAAAAACGCTCATGCAAAATTTTGGGGGACAAACAAAGAGCGTCGTGTTATGTTGTGGTATTTTCTGTAGTAGCCAATTGCAAATGATCGGTAAAGCTTCAAGCTCAACCACTTCGACCAATATACCTAATCAGACGATAACACAAGGCAAGAGAAAAGCCCTCTTTCTTTCTGATACGAAACAGGCTAGTCTACAACCGCGACCATACAAGTAATCTCACCCCAGAATGGTGGGGTTGTAAGATTGCATCAAAACGTTAGTTATTGTTAAACAGGCCCTCGGAAAAGACCTGTTATTCCGTGTATTTTTCATCCCCCTACATAAGAGTGAAAAAAAAAATCGTGGTCATGTCAGTTGGAAATACTCAACTGCAGCAGAAACACAAATACCTAGCCATTGACCAGCCTTGTTCTCTTCCCCTTCACCATTACCCTCACCCCCCACCCTCATGCCCACCCTTACCCTTAAACATACCCTAACCTTCACTCTCCACCCCCACCCTCAACCTTACCCTTGTTTTAGCAACGCCGGTTACTGAAAAATCCAATTCAGTTCTAAAATACTTCAACGAGTTAGCCATTAGCCTGTTCCAGGCTCCGAGATAGTCGGGTCCTTTTACTTTCGCGTCTTTCACACTATCTGAGAGCCTACAAGATAAGGACCCTATTTTTCATTGTCACACATTGTGTGGCATACACGACGAAAGTAAAGTCTCTGATAGAAAAGCGTTGTAAGCAATACGAGGACATCGCATTTTTATCTGTTTAATAGACTGAAAACTATTGAATATTCGATAATTCTCCTAGATTGTTCGTCGCTGCTTTGTGCCAACGTTTTGCTTTCGGAGTGATTGTCTTTCGGTCCCGGGAGGATGAATACAAGCATTGACATTCCCATTGCATCACTTGCAGGTATCACGAGTCGGTACCGGTGTTGTGCTTTGTCGTTCTGGCAGCTGAAAGTGACGAATTGTTGTGATTTGGTTTTACATTGAACGTTTACCTGAGCGTACCCCTAGCGCTGAGCTGATCGATTGTGAAACACTTCAAAATCAATATAATTCATCGTTCCAGCTGCAAGAATAACAATACACAGCATTTCAGGTAAAAACAGTTACACAATTTGTGTGGGCTTTCTGTGACCCAAACGTGATTCTAGGATCTTCCTCCCTCCGTGTAAACAACCCCTTATAAAATGTCCATCCATTTATATGTCCAGGCCGTTTGGAGATCTATCTGTTTCTTTTTTTAAAGCTTAACTCTGATGTCAGAGTCCTCGCTTTCCTGACTAGGGCTATGGATAAAGTCAACAGTCGATGACACTCAATAAATCAAAAACTGATAGAAATCGATAGAGGAAAAGTCGTGGCCAATGGATAATTATTGATCTTTATCGATTTTAATCAACACTAAAATTTCCATGATTGTGTTTCAGTGGTCAACATTATCAAAGGAATGTATGGGATATTGTTTCTGGAACATGAATTATTAAATTATTAATTATGTGGCTTTAGATAACTTTGTCGCCAAGTTTATTTTGCAAATTACACTCAATATTTTAACAAAACATTTTCAAATCGACAGGATTAAAAAGAGTTATAAATGCATAAACTTAACATAGACAACTGATTCAGTTTGCTTTCATTGGAAACAGCTATTTTGGCACAAAAGTGTGTGGCATTTAAAACTTAACTTGTCTGGTGGAGAGGGCAAAGAGGGCTCAATAGCTATTTAAAAAAAGATATAAATGCCCCAATTAACATAAAACAGACCAGTTTGCTTTAATTGAAACAGCTATTTTGGCACAAAAGTGTGTGGCATTACCTATTTAACTTGTCTGGTGGAGCCCCAATCAATAGCTAAACAGACCAATCAAGCTAAACAGACCAGTGAAGTATAATTACCTATAAGGGTATGTGCCGCCCAACGGGGGTTGTGATTTTGAAGCTCTTGATTTAGAACGGGGTATCCATTTCAGAGGTGTTTTCTAGAAAGGGGTATAAAAAATTGTGGATCACGGCTTTATCTTCTGCTTAAAATTGTTGCCGATTATGAAGAAGCATTTATTTGATTTATAAGTCGAACAAATAAAGAAATATCTTTTTTAAAAAAACAGGGCTATTTTAATTTACAAACTTTCTAGAATGAAGTATAAAAAATTGACCCATTTCTAGAACGGGGTATCAGTTTTAGGGCGAATTCTAGGACGGGGTATAAAAAATTGGCCCATTTCTAGAACGGGGTAACAATTTTAGGGGAAATTTTTTTTTAGAACGGGATGCCAATTTGGAGTCCCGGGCGGCACATACCCACCCAAAAAATACCCAATTGCCGCCCCTTCCCCCCTCCCCCGGGCTCTACACAAGTCTTTCAAACTAGCCAGTTTTCAATGCATTAGTGGGTTTAGAACTAACCAATGATTTGGAGGTAGCACATCCACTAAGTGTTTCTTCGCCTACCTGATACCTGGTTGAATTGGAATTTGGAAATGTTGCTTTTTGATGAGAGGGGAAAACTGGAGTACCCAGAGAAAAACCTCTTGAGCAAATGAGAGAACCAACAACAACCTCAACCCACATATGGTGTTCATGAATGGATTTGAACCTGGTCCACATTGGTGGGAGGCGAGTGCTCTTGCCACTGTTTGTTAGACGCTCATCTCTAATAAATGCCCCCTGTCTAGGAAGTACAGTTTGTAGCAAAAAGGAGCAAAATCATTAGGGTTTGCACGTTGTATTTTGTTCAATGTAAGGTTCAAAGTAGGACCAAAATTAATGACCTTGAATGGGGATTCTGGTATCGAAGTTGAGATTTGGATCTCTATCAGCCTAGACTAGATATTACCCTGCAGTATGTTGCCCAGTATCCAGCCACGTCAGTTTAACGTCGCAATAACTTTCCTTTCTTGGTCACAAGAGTTCTCAAATTTATCCCAAAGACCGTCTATTTAAAAATGTGAAAGGTTTGAACCGAGGAGTCATTTCAAAAGAACTGTGTTGATTTCTTCATGCTCAGTCGCCGCTAATTTGGGCTGCTGTTTTCTAGCACTAATTCCTCCTTTCTCATCTCTCACTCCCTTTGAGAAATTTTTCCGACCGTTGCAACCCGATTCTAGCAGTCACAACTGGGGGATTTGTATGAGAATTCCCAGTTCAACTTCAACTCTTCCAGTTATATATGGAAGATGCAGTCACAGAAAACAAGCCGTCCATACGAAATCAATTCGCCTCTGAATGAGTGAAGAAAATTTCCATGAGGAGTTGAGTAGAATTACATTATACAAATTATAATTATTATATATCCTAAGCTTTAATTATTGTTATAGATATGAAATAAATCTTCCCCCGGATAATGAATGCAGCTAATTCATTGATTCTACACAGCAAAGAAAAAAAATGGCTGGATACTGGGCACCTGACATCAATCCCAGTGAATGTTTCTGGCTCCCGTTATTCCAAACAAATTGAATTTCAAGAAGAATTAATGAATTTTCTGACAACCTGACTTCTTTAAGTATTTCCACTTTATATGTAAAACAGTTTCTTTGAAAATGTCTTGTATTAGCAACCCTTATTTGAACACCACTAGTTCTGCTGTACAGTAAACAGTGTAAATATTAGCCATAAAAAGTTTACACACCTGAACAGAATGGCACTTTCTTTTTACTGTTTTTCAAGCTGCAAACCTGCCAAAACTTGCATTTTAGAACTAAAATCTTCAGCTTCCATTCGAAATGCTTTGTTTACTGAAAAGTAGAAAGGGTGCTGCAAAAATTAAGTTTTTGTTTCAAGTGGCCGGTAACTAGTACTGGCCGGATACTGGCAAACATATAACTCTCTTTATATTTTTGCCAAAAGCAAAACTGTTACAAAAATGAAAAAAAAAGCCTCTTTCTTTTAAAACACTTCCTATCTATTACACGCACCCTTTAGGACCCCTTAAAATTTGATGAAATTTAAATTCCAAATAATGCTGCACAAAACTAAGCCTTTTACGAACACTTTTAGATCTGATAAAAGAAGTCCTCACTGGGGAAAAGTCCTTTGAATGTAAACGATGTGGGAAGTTCTTTAGTCAAGCAGAAAGCCTTAGGACACATGAAAGAGTCCACACTGGGGAAAAGCCTTATGAATGTAAACAATGTGGCAAGTGTTTTAGTCAAGGAGGAAACCTAAGGACACATGAAAGAGTCCACTCTGGGGAAAAGTCTTATGAATGTAAACAATGTGGGAAGTGTTTTAGTGTAGCAGGAAACCTAAGAAGGCATGAAATGGTCCATACTGGGAAAAAGCCCTATGAATGTAAACAATGTGGAAAGTGTTTTAGTGAAGCAGGAACACTAACAAGTCACGAAAGGGTCCATACTGGGGAGAAGCCTTATAAATGTAAACAATGTGGAAAGTGTTTTAGTGAAGCAGGAACACTAAAGAAACATGAAAGTGTCCACACTGGAGAAAAGCCATATGAATGTAAACTGTGTGGCAAGTGTTTTAGTCGAGCAGAAAGCCTTAGGAAACATGAAAGAGTTCACACTGGAGAGAAGCCCTATGAATGCAAACAATGTGGGAAGTTTTTTAATGAAGTGGGAAACCTTCGGAAACATGAAAGAGTCCACACTGGGGAGAAGTCGTATGAATGTAAACAGTGTGGGAGGTGTTTTAGTGTAGCAGGAAACCTTAGGAGGCATGAAAGAGTCCACACTGGGGAAAAGCCTTATGAATGTAAACAATGTGACAAGTGTTTTAGTAATGCGAGAAACCTAACACGTCACGAAATGGTCCACACTGGGGAAAAGCCTTATAAATGTAAACTATGTGGGAAGTGTTTTAGTGAAGCAGGAACACTAAAGAGTCATGGAAGAGTCCATACTGGGGAAAAGCCATATGAATGTAAACTGTGTGGCAAGTGTTTTAGTGAAGCAGGAAATCTTAGGAAACATGAAAGACTTCACACTGGTGAGAAGTCTTTTGAATGTAAACAATGTGGGAAGTGTTTTAGTCAAGCAGGAACACTAAAGAGTCATGAAAGAGTCCACACTGGGGAAAAGCCATATGGATGTAAACTGTGTGGCAAGTGTTTTAGTAAAGCAGGAAACCTTAGGACACATGAAACAGTCCACACTGGGGAGAAGTCTTTTGAATGTAAACAATGTGGGAAGTGTTTTAGTCAAGCAGGACACCTAAGAAGGCATGAAAGGGTCCACAGTGGGAAAAAGTCTTAGGAAAACGATGTGGCCGGTGTTTTAGTCATGTAGGAAATCAAAGGAACATGAAAGAGTCCATATTGGGGAAGGTCTAATGAATGTAAATGGTGTGAGAAGTGTTTTAAGGAAACAGGACACCTAGAGTCATGAAAGAGTCCACACTGGAGAAAATCATTAGGAATGTAAACGATGTAGGAAGTGTTTCAAAAAAGCAGGATCACCAAGGAGGCATCAAAAAGTCTACACTGTAAACGATGGTATGAAGGGCCTGTGATCAGTCATGATTGACAAAAAGATCTGTTGGATTTTCAAGAGGAGATTGGTAGCGAGGTTCTTCTTATTCAACATTATATAGATCATAAGTACATGCAGGTTGAGTATGATCGTCGTTGAGTATGTGGCTTCAGAGGGGAGAGTCATCCCAAAAATGGGACCGTTGGGGATGGTCTACCCTTATTTTAAAAGGTATTATGGGAGGGTCAAGTCTTTTTTTGCATAGTAGTTTGTGCAAGTTTTTGTAAATAATGTTTTCTTTTCTTTTATGTGCTTATTATTATTCATATTATTTTATTATTATAACTTATAATGCATTTAATGTATATATATATTTCTATATTATTTTCATGCGTCATCTCGAAGATATTAGCTTGTTTAGCTACTCTAAAATTCGAGTATAAATAAAGTTTATGTTATGTTACGTTAACACATTCCTGTCTTTTTTTTTCGTATTTTAAAGCTTCGTACCAGTCCTTTCTGTTGTTACAATAGCGGAAACTTATAATTACTCAAGATTCCCGTTAAACAGCAGATTTATTACACCTGTGTCTTTCTTTTTTCTCCTTTTTTACATGTCTATGTTCTGTCATGGCACATAACTGTGTCGGATATGACCCGCGTTCTCTTTCGGCCATACCTTGTCTTTTTTTCGGTTCTTTTTTGAAAATACAATAGGGGTTCTCAAATCCCGCTTTCCCGTCCCATTTTTTTACGAGATTTTTTGCTTGATTATTGAAACAGACGTTATATAAGACCTACCTTCTAACAATTGTCAGTTTTGATTGTCAAGGTACTCAACATCACAATTAGCGACCGTAGCCTGTGAACAGGCTATCTGTTTGGCGAAAAAAAAAAGCATTCTCTCTCTCTGTTTGGGGAAAAAAATAGCAAGGAAAGGGAAGGGCTTTTCCCTCTCCCTAGTTCCCCGCTCGACCAAAGGCCTGTTCACAGGCTAAGGTAAGCGACCTTAACTTTATTTTCTGTTTTGCTTATTTTTTCTCCTGCGCATCGTACATGTTTACTTCGATGTATTTTTGGAGTTAGGTAGATTGATGTTATCTGTCTGTCTCACGATGATTCGACTGCTTTGCTGCTAGTTTCCAACCCTTCCAAGCAGGAAGTTTTCTTCAGACTCCATCCTGTGTAGTCCACTGACCGATTAATGGCCGTTTTATGGGTTTTTATGTAAACGGTTTTCTCTCTATATATAAGATACAGAATTAAATGAAGAATTAATTGATGATCATCCTTCAATTAATTATTCACTCCGCAGTTCACATATATGATTTTCATATATTCATAACTTCAATAAATTATTAGTCAGGACAAAACTTAATTCCCGTATCCCGCTATACGTCGAATTTCACATGTGCCGAACTTAATGCGAGAGTTAAATGCATGTGAAGTGCGACGTTTGAATCAATTAAATTCGACTGTTTAAATTAAATGCAACGTTTGCCGTATCTGCGACTGAAACAGTCGAAGATTCGACTTAGGTTCGACTTTTGATTCAAACGTCGCATTTCACATGTGCCGAACTTAATGAATGAATTTTAGTAAATTATTATTATATTACTGGGAATATTGACAGCGAAGAGAGTTAAATTCGACGTTTGAATCAAATGCCTTATTTAGCTATTTTAGTCGACTAAAATAGCAATTAAATTCGGCACATGTGAAATTCGACGTTTGAACTGGGCCTTAAGCATCCTTTGATGTATAGATCAGGGGCACCCAACGACAATTTTCGGAAAAATATCTGTTCGGAAGACGCTTTGAGATCTAGAATTTTCGGAACATTTGTTGTAAAATTTCTTGCGTGCCTGCCTCTCCTAGGATTTTCGGACATCTAAAAAATGGTATAATTGCCCATTTTTAACGGATTTTTACCCTTTTTTCTAGCTAAAGTTTTCGAAAAGGTAAGTTTTGATCCGTATCATTTTCGGATCACTTGACTTTCAGCTAGGAAATCCGAACAGATGAAAAATTTTTAGGGGATAAAAATATGCCTATATTTACCGTTTAAATACTAAAATACGTTTAACAATTCTATGTTTAAGTGGTTTTGAACTATATTCTCGTTGGGTGCCCCTGATAGATGGTTTTCACTGTGACGTCATCAAATTGTAAAGTCAAAATAGTGAGGTTTTAGGAATTCTTATTTACACTTGGTTGGAGATAAAGAAAAAGTAAATCTTTTCACAAGTTTCCGTTTCCGTAGCATGTTTCGTTTCGAAAATACAGCAATTTGAACTTCCGAGTTTTCACAGTGCGTGACACCAAAATAGGAATGCTGTCTCGTTGAAAAAAAGTCTCTCCTCTTGATTTTCAGCAGTATAATTATCACTTCAAGTATTAGAAGATATGTTATGTGTACGTATGCTAGTTCTCGAGTGAAAAGGAAGAGCGTTTATAGAAAAAGATGTTTTTGTTGATTTCCGGCTGCCACATTGGTGCACCAAAACGGTGCACCAATATGGCGTCTCCATACAAAGTTCTACAAAGGTGCGTGAAACGTTTCGGCAAATAACTCAGAAACTATGGGACATAAAGACCTGACACTTGGAAAAATTGTTTATATATTAGTCTTTTACAACATTTCATTTTCTTGGCTTCTTCCTCTGGAAGTTTCTTCTGGACGGTTTCCAATTTAATTTTTTGTTGCGTGACAGTGAAAACGATCACCGCCCGCTCTTTTTTATTGTCACACATTGCGTGGCATACACGACCAAAGTAGTGCAAGTCTCTCTTGGAGAACAGCAAGTGGTAACGTTGCGAGTATGCGCGAGCCGCTGGACGGAAGTTTGTGGTGGTATTGGATCGCAGCGAATGCAGCAAAGAGAAATGGCGCCTCTTTTAAAATTACCATCGTCTTAGTCATCTGTTCTATCTTTGTGGAGTGCAGATAAGACTAAGTGTTCTTTGTAATATGCGAGATTGGTCTCAAGGCTAATAAGTCGCAGATCATTCACAATTTTGCGCGGTTTGCGGTCCATGAGTGATTATTGTTTCGTGTTTTGGCTTGCGTGCGGACACGTCGATGGGGTTAATCGTTCTGTGTAACAGCTGCAAAACTCCTCTATTAAACACTGGATAACTGGGAAAAAATCTCTTCATGTAAGCTGTGACCGAGTACAAAACGTCCGACGCTTACGATTTGAATAAAACGCTGTGAAAAAAATTCTAAATGCTAGTCTGTTTATATAGTCATAACTGCAGTTCTTGCGACAATCCCCTTGCAATAATACGATTTCGCGTCAGTTATGGTTCAGGAACGCCCTGTTTTTCAGAGATGTGCAACCTTAGTGCAGTGATTCTGCCAGTGATTACTTTTCAGAGACACCCCATCCTAACCACCAGTGGCCAAAGCAGGTGCAGTGCCCTAATTCTGTGACTGATAAAATTTCAAAGATATCCCACCCAGGGCTATGAAATTGTATGTTTCCTTTTTTGACTAGATGATATAAAACTGAAGACCCAAACTCAAGAAATGACATCTATTAAATCTATGCGATGCTATAACTTATTCAGGGGTGTAGGCAGAATTTTGTAATATGGAGGCTCTTGACTCCAAGATGCCCCTTATTCTTCTAAAATAAAGAATTAGATGAGCCAAAACAGGAGTGTGGTACAAGATGTTTCATATTACAGATGTGTTTTATTGAGGTAACCCTAACCATGAAAAATCCTTCCCTTTACTCCCCACACTTCTACATACTAGAAAATTGCAAATATGCACACAACAGTGAAAATATTTAAAATAGTAACTTAGATCATAGTCATATCTAAAACTGCATTTTCTCTCTGAGACATTGAAGTGAATTTTGTGCTTCTGATACTTCCATGCTTGCACTCATTTTTTGCTTTTCATAAATTTTGTTGTTGGTATTTTCTACTGCACATGTGTAAATTATTTAAGATATAACTAATAAGGCCTAGCTCCCTTGACTAGCCCATATCTGGGCTAAGATTAAAAATTGAAAATGAGAGAAAATTAGCTCTAACTTTTCCTTTTCATTCAATTTCAACATGAGGAGAACTTAAGGGTCTTAAAGCCTGATATTTATAAAGTCTGAGTTTATGGTAGCTTCAAGTGAGCCAATGTATGACTCATTAAAATTAAAAAGCTTGTCTGTGTGTCTTCTGGGGCACCAAGGCTATTTGATGCAGTTCAGGATGGAGTGACAGACCCTTCACATTCTGCGGACAGCATAGGGTAAAATAAAAAAAAAAAAAAAACGGATAGTCGCCATTTTGAACCAGCTCTGCTATGGCTTGAGTGAAAAGTGCGACTGGTTTAAATGTGACAATGCAGTCGTCCTCAATGACTATCACCTGAATCAACAAGGTTTAGTGCTGAGCATCTCATAGGGAGCTCCTGCAACAGGAAAAAGGCAAATGAAATTTTTCATAACTTGTCATCTTGCATCAGTGGGAGCATCAATGAG